TTCGTGCCCTGTGAAAGTTCCCAGTGTCTTTGCAATAATTGTCGGTGAAATAATTTTCTATTAAAAGCTTCAGTTCAGTCTTTTCGTGAATTGGTATGCACTCTGCACATTCCGAAGAGTCCGCGATAATCTTTGTTGTGTTTACGTCTCAGATTGCTTGGAATATTTTTTTTAATATTCGAAGAGATTAGATTTGCATGTTTTTCCACAGCTAGTCAGACCGTACGTTATTATAGATTCAGCCAGCACTTTATATAAAAGTCAGAGCATGGTATTTTGTGTTTAATAATTGTAGATTTAGCTAAAGTAGTGTTGTGTTTAAATAATTTTTTTTCTATAATTTTATTAACAGTTGGTAGTATTGTTATGGGCCTATAGTTGTTATAGTCAGCCTTGCTTCCCTTCTTGATATTTGTCTTATAATTCTAGTCTCCAAAACATTTGGATATAGGCCAGTGTTGACACTGGTATTAATCAAATGTGCAATTATAGCACTTATTTGCTTGCCTATTATCTTTACACCAATGGCCCGTATTCTATCTATTCCTGATGCTTTGTTTGACCTAATAGTTTTTATTATCTATATTACCGCGTCTTCGTTTGCCTTCGTTTGTCTTCGTTGTTCGAAACCGCAAGCAAGTGTTAGCCGGCGTTTGATAAGTGGACCGATCCAATAAGGGTCGAGGACACATCTGTGTAATATTATTAATATTTTTGTCGAATGTATAAGCAAATTTATTGGCGATCTCTTTGGATTTTATATTTCCTATGTCATAAGAGTTATGTAAAGCTAGGTCAATAGACGATTTAATTCTGCCCGTGAGTTTGTTCAAAATGTGCCATAGTTGTTTTGTATTGCCTATGTTAGATTGAATGTCATTTTCAATTGCCCTATTTTTACTTTTAATGATTAGAGAGTTCGCATAGTTCCTTGCTTTATTATACTTTAATTTTACAACTAAATTACTGCTATCTTTTAGCCATTTCATATACATTATGTGTAAAATGTTAATTACTCGGATTGTTTGGATGGTGAGAACTTTAGCCATCAAATTGGAATGCGCGAACGGTTCAACCAGCAACTGGCAATATAACACCTTATAACGCGAAATGTATTAGTTAAACTTATTTACAATTTAACTAATAATAATTAATTTTAACTGCGGCCCGACGTTTCGGATGCTTTGCAGCAGCCGTGGTCAAGAGGAGATTCTCTGTGTAGCGATGAAATGTCTATATGAAACGTATTCTTGTTTTGTTTTCATCTCTCAACTATTCAATCACATAGTGCTACAACTAAGTGTAGCAGTGTACAGCTTTCAGATACAATAATGTTTTTTAACGCAGACTTTTTAAGGCAGTTATAATAATTTAAAAGTTTTCTCTACACTAAAGAGTAGTAGTTCATATATATATATATATATAAATTAATATTACACAGACCATCAATTTGCTTTGATTTGTATATATATACAAATATATATGTTCCTTAATAATGAATATAATACTCTTAAATGATTACTATGTTCTTTAAATAAATGCTTGGGTTTAAGGAAGTTATCATATCATTGTATGTACATAGTGTAAAACAATAGAACATTTTGTAACTTAAAAATAAAATTATAAACAAATCAAAAAATGGTTTGTGTAATATTTTATACTAGCGGCCCTGTCCCGGCTTCGCACGGGTAGACATAAATAAGTACAAATATTTAAATTATAAGCATGCTAATTAAAACGACCATGAATCACTAAATTAGAAAAAAATTGTATTGCGCGTCCTCTGTTAACGACCGTGGTCTATCTCGCTGGTTCAGGAGCCGCTGCACGCGTTCGCGAGTTCCTAGCTCTATTTCCTTCAAGACGCTGCGACGATCTTGCATTTTGTTCTGCAAGACGAACCTAAATATTTAAAGATAGATTCTCTGGCTCGCGATTGGGTCGCGTACACTCTAATACTTTCCAGACGATCATTTTAGGAAGAAGACTCTCTAATACGACGAACTTTTGCTAATCTCGCTTGGAAACTATTCTTAGATAGCTGCGACCTTCTTCTTCTAGGCAAATTGCTATGAAAGATATTTATTTTAAATCAAAGAATAAACTGATAATAATACAAAAAAAAATATTCAAGTTCAAAGCAATAGTTCTGAAAAGAACCTTGACAAACATTATGCAAAGTGTGATTCCTAATACTAAAGCTAATTAGCTTTGAAAAGAACTATTTAAGTGAAGCATAAAAATGTTTAAAAAACAAATCGAAATATTCAATGTCGTTCGCGCCCACTGCGTAAGGAGCTCACTGCCCCTCTCGAATTAGTTCTCGATGCGCGACGTGATGGCCGCCGCCGGCATGTGTTTTTATTTTAATTTCATGATATCTTTTGAATGTCATGTCCGATTTCAATAATTAAAAAAGGAATCATCAGGTATTGAGACAGTCTTGAATATTAAATTATTTATTTGGAAAAAAACTTATAAATGGTGTGCAAAACACGGTCTGATTTTAATCGGCATTTCTATTAATTTGTTAAATGTAAAAAAGTAATTATAGCGACGTTAGACATATGCTCTCGCGATGTTTTTTGTAGATATATTCTATAATATTGTCGAACATTTTTTTTGTCCTATCACTAATACTTTTCGCAGCGTATGCGAAGAAAGACATTTTACGGCTAATTTTTTTACGCCTTCCGTTGGTTTTAGTAGGAATTTCTATAGATGCCTATAGTATTCAAGTACTAAATATAGCTAATGTTACTCAGTGATAATGTAGCTATCTAATGGAAAAAGAATAATTAAAATCGGTCCAGTACTCTTTGAGTTTATTCGTTGCATACAAAAACACAAATCTTTCCTCTTTATGATATTAGTATAGATTATGAATGACTAGCTTTTATATCCCATTTTTTAATATGGAGAAATTTAATTATTATTACTGCATAAAAATTCTATTACTTGCTTTGTTCGACAAAATTATGATAACAGTCGGTATTGTTTAACAACTTTATCAGAATATTTATTTAAAGAGAGTTGATTACGGTTTTCTAATTCCTCCGATTAACAAGTCCTTCATCACAAATAATAAGCTCTGCAGCAGCCGAAACGTTGGGCAGAAGTTAAAAATCATTTTCAAATAAGTTTAACTAATATATCGCGGTTTAAACCGTTACAAACGAAGAATAAATTTAATATAAGTTTGATAATAGTGTTTTTTTTCACTGGCTGAATAACATACAGTTGTCTATATGAAAAGGAACCAGTGACCGCGCCATTTACGGGAAGGGAGGAAAAACTCGCTGAAAACTGCATTGATGCGCCATTATTACACATACAGTCACACGTGACAGTTACACATCGTTAAAAAAACTCTTTTTCACGATGCAAGAAATAAATAAGGTTTAATAATGATAAGAATTATATATCATGCTGAAATTTCAGCCCAATTTTGAAGCGTAGACAAACATTTTACATATATATAGATAAGAAAAGCCGTTAAACGTGGACTGTATATATCATCAAGGCAATGTAATATCTTATCTATACATCACAAAAAAGATCAGTGATAAAATTATTTGTGCACCTATAATAATTGTAATCACGATAGCTTTCAAAATGAAAACATTTTTTTATCGTACAAATATGGCGGATGGTAAGTGCATGATTACATTAGTAGATGCGCAGACTGATTAAGATTACATAATCTGAATGAAAAAGTAAGGGTCAGACGGAAATATATAGACTTACAAATAATTAATACGATTTTCGAATACATAAGGAAGTAAATACGTGAACACTTATTTACACACCGAAGCCTACTTGACTCGCCCAATGTATAGCTAATAATAATTAAAAAATCGATATGTAAATCGGTGTTTGCTATAAGCCTGTGGTGTGTGTGTGTATTTCAGAATGTCCAAAGCCAAAAGTAGGTCGACAAAGCATTTTGCTTATATATTACATGGCTATATACCACATCATCAAAAATCAAAGTCAAAAATCATTTATTCATGTAGGTAGCTTAGCACACTTATAAACGTCAAAACAGGCAAAAATTTACAGTTACTACCAGTTCCCAAGTTAGGGCGTAGAACGAACGAGAAGAACTGGCAAGAAACTCGCCGCCACTCCTTTTAATTGCCAAGTTTTTATTACATTTCCTTATATTCCTTACACACTCATTGTGTACATTTCTTCCTTGATAGAGCGGGTTCTCCATACCCCAAGTATTTTTATCATTTAAATATTCATTTACGTTATAATAAGCCTTTCCAAGCAGTTTTTGTTTAACATACGATTTAAACTTATTTATTGGCAGTGTTTTTACTTCACCTAGGGATTTTATTAAAATACCATATGCAGTTGTGTACCTTGAAAAGAATTACTTGTTTTATCAAGTAATACGCATGTCTGTCAGTCCTCCGACATAAAAAATACTACTCATAAAACGAATTTTGTAAACTAAGTATGTTCATAAAGAACCAATATATTTTCTAGTTAACTAATGATAACTTGTACAACTGTTGTACGCTTAAAGACAATTTAATGGGATATTACCTAAAAGTGCAATGTCTGACATTGAAATGTCACATTTAATTTCAAGTTGCATTTAGATCAATTTTTTCATCTTACAACTATTTTAATAAAACACTTCAACGTTTTAAAACGCGACCGAAACGTCGGGGTGACGTTAAAATAAGTCTTACTAAGTAACTAAAGCGTCAAAAGTGTTTTATTTAAATGCATGTAATGATCTACTCGCGTAAACTGCAGACAGTATCTTACGACTAACTAGAAAATCATTACGCTCTCCTGAAAATATTATCAGTCAGACATCCAAAAAAAATATTTTGGTCCAAGAATGTAAATACATTTATATACCACATATCAAAATATTTATGAATCCTCTTTCAAAATCAGTCCATAGTACTTAATAAAATTGCGCTTAAATGAATTGCAATTGTGATAATTACAGATAATCTGTAAGATAATGTATCTAAATGTACAATAAAGAAGGAGGAAGGCTAATAACACCAGAACACCAGACGCCCAACATGAAGCTTCTTGTGGGCTTGTCCCTTTTCGTAGCATGTAAGTATTTATAGTAAATAATTTAGTGTTTAAAAACTTTTAAAAATACTTAAATTATGCCGAAATTTTAGTAGTCTAGAACATGATTTTGATGTTTCAGTGTCTGCTGGCAGTCCTATTGAGATCACGATACCTCTAGACAACAGCCATTATGTAGAGGGAGTGAGCAGATACATATGGATGCCTGATGGAAATGATGTGCCACAGCTGGTAGATCTCCAAGCGCCAGCTGAGCCTTTGCGTGGTGCTGAGAACCAATATCTTTTATTTACAAGGTAAACTTTAAAAATAAAATGCAAATTTTACAACTATTAAAAAAAAAATACACTTTAAAAATCGAAAATAAATTGAAAAATAATTTGACTCGAGCAGGACTTGAAACGGCATCGTCAGCGTCCCGTGCTCTAACACATTGAGCTAACGAGTCCAGTTGGTTAGAGCAATAGCTCGGAACGCTGAGGATGTCGGTTCAAGTTCTGCCCGAGTCGTAAATATTTTCAATTTATTTTCGATTTTTAATCAATAATAATTGATAAAAAATATTAAAGTTTTTTATAGTTAATTTAAATATTGCCTTATTGTATAACTATTACAGGAGTAACCCAGAAAATCCCCAAGAGTTGAAATACAACGATCGAGAATCTGTTCGAAATTCTAACTACAATCGTAACTGGCCCATCGTTGTTATTGTTCACGGCTGGACTGGAGATATAAACTCAAAAGTAAATCCCTATGTACGTGATGCTATGCTCGAAGTCGGAAATTATAATGTAATTGCTCTCGACTGGCATAAAGCAGCTGGCGGTCTATACACGTCCGCAATTCGCAATGTTTTTGATACCGGCGAAAGCCTTGGTTTCTTTCTGGACTGGTTGATATTTAGCTTCGGCGGCAGTTGGAATAATGTCCACCTAGTTGGATACAGTCTCGGTGCTCATGTGGTTGCTAATGTTGGACGAATGATCTTAAGGCGACCAGGTCGAATTACTGGTTAGTATTTACAAACAAAAGACTTTAAATTTTGTCTTGAACAGATTATTAAGCTAACAGAAATATTTTCATAGGCTTAGACCCTGCTGGTCCACAATTTGGGAATAATCCAGATGCCCTTAACATACAAGACGCGGCCTATGTCGAGTGCATGGCCACTGATGGTGGAATGATGGGTATCTTTGATCCCATTTGCCAGGCAAACTTTTACCCGAACGGTGGTAGACACCCCCAACCTGGCTGTGACTCGAATTCGTGTTCACACAGTCGCGCCTACGAGCTTTATGCAGCAAGTGTGAGATACAACCGATTTGTTGGGAGGCAATGCGCGAGTCTAGATGACGCTGAAAACCAACGTTGTGATGGTGCAGAGTTCCTCATGGGCAATGCCGATTTGAATAAACGAAGGTGTGTATTATATCTTCAGCTTCATGCATCAAAGTTGTTACCTAAATCTATCATTATTTTCCATTGTTTCAGATTTGGACTCTTTGGCCTCAAAACAGAAGCAGCGTGGCCTTTCTAAGAGGATATTTGTCTGTAGAAGTTAAAAATTAAAGGGAAAAACTTCATACCAACTTTAATCTATACACCAATATCAAATTGAACTAAATAAAAAAGAAATTGTTATAATTCTTGTCTTTATTTAAATCTATAATAACTTTACCTAACTTCTAAAAAGATAATGTCTACTATTACAAACAAAACACCATCGTCATTTTAAAAATATAAGGATAGTACATAATATAATCTCAATGTTCATCATAATTATAGAGATAATTAGAAAAATAATTGCATAATAATAATACTTTTTTCAGTCAGTACTCAAATATTTTTAATTTAATTAATTATTATCTTTAGCAGCTTAATTTATTATGCAATGCGTAAATCTTCTTTTTTTAATTGAGAGAGTACTTTTAAGGACAAGTAATAATAATCTATTACAATATTTTAAAGTTGAAGAGTTAGTTTGTTTGAACGCAAATCTCAGGAACTAATGTTTCATAAGAAAAGACCATACATTGAGAAAGGTTTTAGGCTATATAACATCACGCAGCGAATAGAAGTGAAGAAACAGTGGAAATGCGTAATCAATGCGGAAAATGATTCATCTGTGAGGGTTTCCATTGTGTGCGCTGCAAAAACGTACGTATAATTTTATCATGTCTTTTCCATTTGGTCCCCGTAATGCCCCTATCTCCCTCTACTTACGTGGGAATCTTGTTTATTGAAAGTCTCGTCTACACAATTAAACACGCTTCACTGAGTATCTTATATGATAGTGTTTAACGAGATACTTTCGTGTATGACAAATTAAGGCATTTGTAATGCCTACATTTTAATCTAAGTGTTTAACGTTTGCTTAATTTAATTAGTTACGTCAATGTGATAATAATGACAGATAATCTGTAAGATAATGTATATAAATGTATGTACAAGAAACAAATAGGAAGTGAATAGCATCCGAGCTTCAAACGCCCAACATGAAGCTTCTAGTGGGCTTGTCCCTTTTCGTAGCATGTGAGTATAGATTTCTAAACAATTTAGTGACTAAGAACTTTTAAAAATATATATAAATTATGCTTTGAAGTTAGTAGTCTAGAACATAATTCTCCTGGCATTTCAGTATCTGTTGGCAGTGCTATTGAGCCGACAATTCCTTTAGACAACAGCCACTATGTGGAGGGAGTAAGCAGATACATATGGATGCCTGATGGAAATGATGTGCCACACCTCGTCGACCTCCAAGCGCCAGCTGAGCCTATCGACCTATTGAGTGGTGCTGACAACCAATATCTGCTATTTACGAGGTGAGAAGAAAGAAAAAACTTCTTTATGCCATAAATAGTGATATAGTTCCTATCGCTGATATACGGTACTTATAAACTTTTTAATTTAACTGTACAAACTATATTACAGGCGAAATCCTCAAAATTCACAACAGTTAAGACACAACGATCTGAATTCTGTACGCAATTCCAACTACAATCGTAACTGGCCTATCGTTGTCATCGCTCACGGTTGGAATGGTGATATAAACTCTAAAGTAAACGGCTTCGTCCGGGATGCCATGCTCGCCGTCGGAGATTATAATGTAATTGTTTTGGACTGGCGTAGAGGTGCTGGCGGCCTTTATACGTCCACCGTTCGAGCTGTTCCCGGTACCGGCGAACAACTTGGTTTCTTTCTGAACTGGTTGATTTCCAACTTCGGTGGCAATTGGAATAACGTACACCTCGTTGGCTATAGTCTTGGGGCTCATGTAGTCGGTCACGTAAGCCGTGCCACTGGAAGACGACCAGGTCGTATTACAGGTTAGTATTATATACCGAGTTCAACAAGCTTGATCTTACATTTATGTGACAGTTTACAAACTTATTATATTTTCTAACAGGCTTAGACCCTGCTGGACCGCAATTCGGAGGTAATCCAGTCGCTCTTAGAGCACAAGATGCGGCCTATGTTGAGTGCATCTCTACTGATGGAGGAATCTTAGGCATTTTTGACCCCATTTGCCAGGCTAACTTTTACCCCAACGGCGGTAGGCACCCACAACCTGGTTGCTGGATAAACACATGTTCGCACAGTCGTAACTACGAACTGTACGCAGCAACTGTTAGATACGATCGCTTTGTTGGAAGGCAATGCGCTAATTTGGCGGAGGCTCAAAACCAGCGGTGCAATGGTAGACAGTTCAACATGGGCAACGCTAATATAAATAAACGAGGGTTTGTTTATTTTTATATATTATGGCGATGTCTTAGATTCTATATCTATACTAGTATTATAAAGTAAAAGAGTTTATTTGTTTGATCGCACTAATCTAAGGAACTACTGGTTCGAAATGAGAAAATATTTTTGTCTTAGTTAAATTATTTATCAAGGAAGGCTTTAGGTGTATAGAATATATATACAACTAATAGGAAGGAAACAGTGGGAAATGACTGAATGATGAAAGGGACTAAGGGCGAAAAATATTCATGCTCTGCAAAAACGTTACGCGCCGGTGATGTCGCAGGCACTGCTTCTATGTTATAAGTTACATAAACTAAGTACTTATGTATCTCATTTCAGTAATGGACTCTACGGTCTCACAACAGGAGCGCAGTGGCCATTTTAAGAAGCATTTATGAATCTGAAGACCTATACAAAGTATTAAGAGCAAAATTTGAATTAGGATATAAATGACGACGTTTTATTTAAATACAACTAAATAAACAAACACATACGTATTTCTTGTTTGATTGATTGTTAGTTTTTCCTTTGACCTTTATAAGACGAGGAATAATATTATCTAAACATTACGCAATTTAATTGCAATAGACAATATTTCGTATAGAAAAGTATTTTCTTAATAACTAGTAGATTAAAAATAATTATTATTAACCAAAATATACTAATATTATAAATCTGAAATGTTTGTTTGTTTGTTTGAAAGCGCTAACCTCAGGAGCAACTGGTTCGAGTTAATTTTGTTTTGGGTTGATGGATCATTTATCGAAAAAGACTTTAGGCTATAAAACCTCACGCTGCCACCAATAAAAGCGAATGAACAGTAGCAAATGTGTAAAAAAACAGATGACGTTCGCTGCAAAAACGGTCCCAGAAACCAAATAATATGTTCGAAAGAATTAATTCTCTTTAAATGATCTAAAACAATGTCCGCGACATCTTTTAAGATTAGCGAGCAAGAACGACGGGGCGTTGACAACGTTGACAATTTATAAGACTGAGCTGGTTGTTCGTGTACCAAATAACTATTCCACGCGGATAGTCGCGGGTATAGCTAGTCGTTAATAATCACTCTGGTATTCTTAATTAATTTAATTACTTAACATTTAACGACAAAGATGTAATCACCTTTTATCTATATCTAGTGCGTCAGTGTCAAAAAAAATCAATTGTACTGACATCATAATTACTATATTATTGTTTTAACTCTTGTTATTTGAAATCAAAATGCGTGAATATCATGAGAGGCATTCCAACAAAACAAAAATCAATCAACTATTATCTATTATAATACAGGTAATAACGGTAATTAGTTGATAACTTTTATAAGTAATAGATATTAGGAATAAATTTAAATCATTTGCGGATCTAAATATGAAAACGATCGCGGTTTTCGTTTTGTTTACAGCGGGTATGTATATAGTTTAATTTTAATTTATCTTTTTTTTTTAGGTTTTAATATTTATTTTGAATTGCCGTCTTTTAGTGTTCGCTTTACACGCATTTCCTGAATCTCGCGCATTTAAACACGTTAATGATGCCAAATTATGGATGAATGACGAAGACCAAGAACCAGTCTTCGTTGATGTTTCAAGTCCAGTCGATAGTAATACACTGAACGCAAAAAATGGAGCGAATAATGCTTATTGGTTATTTACTAGGTATAATAGTGCATTAAACTTCTTAGAATTAAAGACATATTTAGATTGAAAAATAAAATAACACGACACGGCCGGGATTTTAACAGTTGTTTGACAGTTAAAATAAAATATTTAATTTAAGTGGTTTAAAATGCACATTTATTTTAACTACGTTTTGGATGCTTTGCATCAGGCGTTTAAACGTTAATAGTACATTATGATATAAGTGCGGTAAGTTAAAAATTACAGCCGAGGCGATATTGCTATAAGAAAGCAGGGGCTGTAATTTTCAAAGCGCACGTATGTCATTCAATAATTAAATGTTTATTTGTTATATTTTATTTCCCAAAGTTAATTTTATTCATAAAATATTGACCACTTTCTTGACATAAAACCTCATTGCTAAGATTTTTAAAAGTATCGTTCATTTTTAGACGGAGTATCTTAAAACTTTATTAAAAAAAACACGTGCCTCTTACATTATCGCACAAGTACGTAGTGCGCACATTACGATATTGAAATTGGTGTAATTACAACCACTTTACGAGCAAATATGTTATAAAAGTATTTTATGTGATTGCTACTCGCGGCAAATTACAGACATATTTACTTGTTTGACAAACTACTACTGTTACAATATGTAGTTTGCAGCGTATTACCTTCTCTTCTTAACGCCTATCGGCCTATCGGCTCGAAAAGCAACGGGCTTGTGAGTTCGATCCCCACCGGTTGCAACATGTTCCTAATGAATTTATATTTTGTCTGAAACGTTGGATTTCGTCTGGAAATCTGAATATTAAATGATTAGTAATATCGAATATCGAAATTCCGTCCGGGTCACGAATCACCGTCCACAGATTAAAACGCTGTGAAGATTAATCGCTTCGGTTACAGTCTGTGGATTGCCGAATATTCTAAACCAAAATAGATAGACAGCACATCTAGCTTAGAGCATATGATCTGGAGTATTGCATCTACCATCAGGTGAAGTCTATGCTTGCCTGTCTTCCTCTATCGTAAAAAAGATATGTTACAGGGAGTGAAGACCTGTGATAAAATGCCATTGCTTTTTAGGAGAAACCGTGATAACCCACAACTGTTGGTTCACGGCGATGCCAACTCGATATCAAACTCCTTTTACAATCCCAATCTGCCGCTGAAGGTACTCGTGCATGGCTGGACGGGAGGACTTCACTCGCGAATGGTACCAAAAATCAAAGGAGCATTCCTCGATGTAGCCGATGTTAACGTAATTTTGGTCGATTGGAATGCTTTAGCGGGAGAAAATTATATCACTGCTTCGTTTGGGGTACCGAGCGTCGGACAATACTTAGGACGATTTCTGACGTGGCTGATCAATACTAGAGGTGGTAACTGGAATACGATGCATTTGGTTGGATACAGTTTGGGGGCGCATGTTGTCGGTTTCGCTGGTAGGCAGGAAGGTGGCAGAGCACGAAGGGTCACTGGTATGTTCTTTAGTTAGATCCCTAATCTTTTTCCTTTGTTTATGTATTTAGTAAGATCCCGCTTACCCCTCTTAAACTTTTATAAAATTTCTTCATATTTTAAACAGACGCGAATACTACAGAGGTTCTCACCAATTGCAAAAAAACACAATAACTAACTATACCACAATAGCTAACACAATAATTAACACAACACAATAAATAACACAATAGCTAACACAATAAAATTATTTTATTCCTATACCTTGTTTATCAAATAATTTTATTGTGTTAAGGTTGAAATTACATTGCGCGAGAAGTGTGTGCATCGATAGCAACTCTTAAATTTATTCAATTTGTACCATTTTTTATCAATAAAATTATTGCTAAAAAATAATTTTACTATTAAATTGTTTCACGGCCATGTTCAGCATATTATCTCACCTTCTCGGCTGAACAGCCCGAAGGCTGAAAACAATGATATAATTTTATTTTTCTACGTCATTGCAGATATAATTAGTAATATATTACCAATTTGTATATTACTAACAATTATACAATGTATGCATCTAATCTAATCATCTAAAACATTCCAGGTCTCGACCCGGCTGGAATTATGTGGAACGGAAATTCTGACGCACTGAACAGATATGCTGGCCAATACGTCGAAGTCATACATACTAACACAAATTTAATGGGAATCAAAGATGCCAACGCTCACACGGATTTTTATCCCAACGGCGGTGGTTTCCAACCAGGGTGTGACACGGACAAATGTTCTCACAGCCGAGCTTGGGATCTGTATACGTCCAGCATATATACCAATCACTTCGTTGGTCGCCAGTGCGCGAATTTAAATCAGGCGTTTAACAACCAATGCACTGGAAATAGGCTATCTATGGGAAATGGAATTCTTAATAAAAATGGGTAAGTATACGTATTTATATACAGAAGTAAATCACTACTATAAGTCACACTTAATAAACGTATAACTAAATAAAAAACGTGAACATTTGAATGTACAATATTTTGTACGATTCCAAGAAATGTCTCTACATAATTAGTTTCTTCTGACAGCTATTACAAAAACACGAAGTAAAAAGGGTGTAAAACTTACGAACACTTAAACATTAAAATACCTATATAATATATCAATTACCAAAATCACGAGTCATGGGTTCTAAATCCGGGTCAAGAATGCTTATTCGTTTGTAGGTATTTTGCTAAGAAAATTTCTGATACTACCACAGAATTCGGAAGTAGGTTGTTTTACCGAATTTAGTGACAGTCCTACTATTGGTAAAAATGTTAAACTATATAATTTTATTACTCATCCCTGAATGTAAGCCTATATCAAATTTCCGGATCGTAAAAACTAAACTATTTCTCTGTCAAAGAAATGTGTTTGCTCATTAATATACAACAACAGAAAGACCAACTCACTCAAACATATCTATATATATATAAATATCATTTAATATTTCCAGAAATGGAATCTACGGTCTATTAACTGGAAATTCTTGGCCTTACTAATACTGTAATCAAGAACTTGAAGAGGAGCAACAAGTGGTAAATAGTGCTTTTTACACCACTAAAGAAGCCATCGGCAGTTTGCTTTTTTATTGTTTATCATCATGTAGATATAATACTGTACTGATAAACCTAAGTAGATTAAAAATATATTCAACTACTCTATCTGGTATATTTTTTTAGAATCTAACATTTTATACACGTAACCTCGTCATCCTGGGCGTAAGAAATCTAAAAAATATTTTTGTACGTAACCTTTTGTCGGCTGCGGTAATGCCTGTCAAAAGGAAATATAATTAAATGGCTTTGTATAATTATAGGAGATACAAAATTGCCATTTTGCACCGAGTAAACCCCATCTATAGCATGTATTATTAAAAAAATGATCACTGTGTTGAAAACTTTAATATTTTTAACATGTTATTGCAAGACAACAGCACGGAATGCCGTTTCAAGTCTTGGGGGGGACGTAATTTTTTTCAGTTTATTTAAAATTGTGTTACTTAAGACAAAAATTGTAATTGGTCTAAATCAAAACGTCATCGTAAATTAATTACGTGAAATATAACAATTACATTTATAGATATACCTACTGATAAGCTATTCTATCAACTAAATATAAGTATCTCATTGTAACTTTGGATTAGTTGAAATAATATTATTAAACCAGAATGACATTCTTGTTACAAATATTTAATACTTTACTCTTAAAATGAAGTTTGCTTTTATTATTTTCGTGATACAATCAGGCAAGTGTTACTCACGATACATCTACCCTCACTATTTGTATAAAGGTTTTTTTACTGAAATATAAATATATACTATATTTTTTTAAGTTACTCTTTACTTTTTCTTAACTTTATTGATTGCATAAAAGAGATTCCTTGTGGACGATAATGCTGTTGATTGTATTTTTTAAATATATTCAACTATTAAGAATAACACGCGACCTAGTTTATAACACAATTGTTTGTTCGATCAGTTTGTTTTGGTGCAATAATTAAACAGTCAAAAGAATCTTCACCGGAATGGTTCGGTGAAAGATATTTCTATTTCCCTGGAGATGGGGATAATACTTTACACTTAGTGGACACTATGGAGGAAGTCGATGAGCAATTTATAAGTGTATACCGGAATGAGAGGAACTATAAATATCTGTTATACACGAGGTAAGATATACTGATGTTATAATATTTTTAACCAAGAAAATTACAAAAAGCTGTAACATGTTAGACCCAACTTCCAAGAATTTTAGACATTTAATAGGGGGTGGGAATAATTAAATTCCTTGCAAGTCACAAACGAGAGATCTTAAATAATTTGGACAAGACGGCATTTTATAAATTAAAAAACATAGTCACGGACGGAGCCGATTGCCCGAGAGGTACGAGTGTCAATAGGTTAAAAAAATCGACGATGAAGTGTAGCAACGGTAGTTCAATTAATTAGAGCAACTGCACAGAAAAGCCAAGTACGACGCATCTCAACTAGAGGCTATGGAGATAGGATAGAGGCTAGGGATATAGACGATAAAATTTTCCTTCCTTATATTATGTTTCTTTCAACCAGGGGCAATCCACTAACACCCCAGATTATAATTCATGGAGTAGTCAAATCTCTGACGAATTCACACTTCAAAAAGAATAATGAGATTGTATTTTTGGTCCACGGCTGGTTTGGGAATGCAGACAACGAGATGAATAGAATGTTAACAAATGGTAAAAATAAATCCATGAATGTTGAAATATATGTATATAATAATTTAACAGTCTTACAATAAAGTGCCTCTACATAACCATGTTTCAGTAAACAAAAAAATTTAAACTAAATTAGTTAATTAATATTTTTTGCGTTTTGAACTGTTAAAAAAGTTTAATTCAAATGTATATTACTCGCCGAAACTACATACAGTTCCTAAAGTGTCCACGTCTTTAAAATACTTTTATTATATTTCCGTGAGATTCGAACCTAGCATATATCACCCTAACCATATTCTATATAAAATTGAAAGAATTGTATCACTTGTCTTTAATTTTTAATCTTTCAGCATTTCTTCGCAAAAAAGAACTCAATATCATAGTAGTGGACTGGAGTGAATTAGCCACGCGAAATTATTTGACTGCCAAAAGAGGTGTGGTCACCATCGGTCTTCAGCTAGGATTATTCATGAGCTGGTTAAACTATGAATTCGGGATTTCGTACGAGCAAATCCATTTAGTCGGATTCAGTTTGGGAGCTCATCTAGTTGGTAATGCTGGAAGAGCCTCGGGGGGATTAGTGAAAAGAATTACAGGTAATTCAAGATTACTTCGCTTTAATCTCCATAATTGTTAATATTTTAAATTGTATTTGTGAAACGCTTAGATTGACTTATTTTTAACCAAAGCAGTTTAAAAATAAACAATTCTAAATTTACATTTACTCCCAGCTCTCAAATCAAGGGCGTAGAACGAAAGAGGAGAATTGGCAAGAAACTCGCCATCTTCTTCATATAGCTAACTTTTCATTGACAATATAGTGCATTGTCAAAATTTGGCAACATACTTAGTGTGGTACGGAAACTCCATTAGTGGACGCCGTTGTCGTAGATTCAAATTCCGCTCATGAATATTTTTTTCCTTTTTTTTTAATTAAAGAAAATATATGTATATAGTAAGGCTTGACATACATATAAGTCTGAAGTCCTCCATAACCACTAACGTCGAGCCTTAGTCAAAATATATTCTAAATAAGTTAACTAATATATTTCACGTTCTAAAGAGTTAAAATTGTTTTATTAGAACGTACAATATTATTAATAACTAGTGAGATATTAAAACAGGTCTCGACCCAGCTGGTCCCTTATGGAAACGCGACAATAACCGTCTAAATAAAAACGACGCGCGGTACGTGGAAGTAATTCACACGAACACAGCGCTCTATGGCTACTCAGAACCATGTGGTGATGCTGACTTCTATCCAAACGGTGGAACCAGTATGCCTGGATGCTGGTTCAATGTGTGTTCACATAGTAAAGGCTACGAGTATATGGCTGCAAGTGTTTTGTTTAACCATTTAGTGGCAAGAGAATGCCCGAGTCTGAAAGATGTTGAACAAAATAACTGCTTTGGACAATTTTACCCCATGGGAAATAGTCATATGTCCAAATCGAGGTAGGTTTATCAAACTCAAACCATTTATTTCACAAAACATAAAGAATATAAAAAAATAATTAATTAAATACTGTCTATAGTTTACGCGAGTAAAACGTCGGGCCGACGTTAAAAATAATTTTCAAATAAGTTTAACTAATATATCGCGTTTTAAACCGTTAAAGTGTTTTATTTAAATAATTAATTTTTAAATATTAGCTTAATAACTACTTTAAAAAAAGAAAAAAAAGAAACTTAGAAGAATGTTTGTGAAATGGGAGAAAGCACTCGGTATTTATTTCACCTCCCAAGAGTAGAGGAGAAACGCCGGTTTATTGAGCCCCCGGGGAGAAGGAGTGACCAACAACAAAATCAAATAAAACCACTAACATTTATTTACTTTTTATTAACTTTATTCTTTATGTTTCAGGTCAGGATTATTTCGAGTTAACACTGGAAATGATTTTCCTTTTTGAAATCAGTATAAATGAAAATTTAATGACACAAGATACATATGTCAGGGCTCTTTCATAAAAGTAAGTTCAACAATATCATATCAGTTGCAATATACTATATTTTATGTAATATTATACAGTATATACATACTATGTTTTATTTAAAACTGAAATTAAGTTTTGTGATAGTTGCCTTAAATGTATTCTAGTTTAAAGTTCAGTGACAGGAATCATTAGTTTACTTTTTAAAGTTTTCATGGCCGTATTTCGGTTGTGAATAACGCCATCAGCACATCTCTACTTTCACGTAATGCCTTTCCTTAAGTTAAGGACAATTTTAAATCAATAATTCAGTATCTTCATGTTAAAATCGTGAGCCTAAAAATCAATAAAAAATATTAAACAATAAAAACTATGTCAATATCAAAATTTAGAAAACAATAAAAAAATATTTAAATAAAACACTTTAACGGTTTAAAACGCGATATATTAGTTAAACTTATTTGAAAATGATTTTTAACTTCGGCCCGACGTTTCAGATGCTTTGCAGCAGCCGTGGTCACGGGGAGACGGCTGCTGCAAAGCATCCGAAACGTCGGGCCGAAGTTAAAAATCATTTTCAAATAAGTTTAACTAATATATCGCGTTTTAAACCGTTAAAGTGTTTTATTTAAATGTGTACTACTCGCGTAAACTATAGACAGTATTTAATAAAAAAATACCTGGTCATTTACTGGTAACCATTTTCGTATAAATGGAGAAAATAACTTTTTATTTTTGTGATTATTTACTTTAGGCCGCAAACTTAGGAGGGATGCCGTTAACATACATACTGTACAACCAAATGCTGTAAACCATAGATATGATAGACTGTATAAGAGTGATATTTCTCTGAAAAAAAGGAGTGAAAAATTTAGTTATTGCATTAGCATCTACTTTCTAGTTTTTTAATTATAGACAGACAAGCATGAGGGTCACTTGATGGTAGGTGAAATACCCCAGTCTTTAGCAACTAAACAAGATGCGCTGTCGGCCTATTTTGGTTATGTAATAAATCCACAGACGGAAACTGTAACGTTATTAAACTTCATCAGTGAATAGTGGTTCGTGATCCGGACGGAATTTCGATATTCCAACATTTATAATCCAGAATTCCAGACAGAGTCCATTTTTCTGAAAAATTATCATTATTATTATAATATATAATTATATTAAATTAATCGAACCCACGACCCGTTGACTACACCGACGAGCCTATCAAAGTTATAATAATACTTATAGCGATATCGCTGCAATCAAAGATATTGACGGTAAGCGCCTCTCAATATTATCAGATTGTTGATCTATTAAAACAATCTGTTTTATCTTAAATCCTTGACCCGAATTATAACACTAATTACTTGTTAAATAAAATATAATTATCATGAAAACGAATATCCAACCCATCCGTCCTCTGTATAGATTTTACTTCGTCGAAAATATAGGTGCAGTTGTAAGTAAATCTTTCTTTTTCTACATAAACAAGTGAGGAATGCGCCTGCGCCATTTGAGATTGCGCTGCGATCCATCCTCCAGAAAATAATCCCATTATCCCACCTATGAGGGCACTCTGTAAGAAATAAAGGCCATTCATTATACTACAATTATTCAATCGAAAATCGTATTAATTAAATTATAATTAAAAAATTATAATTATAATTTAAGAGTATGTAAAAATCCTTTTTAGATTGATTTTTTTAATGCGCAAGTATAGAGTATCAATAGATAAAAAAAAAGTTGACGAGTAGGAGACGGAAGCTCAATTGCAACAGCACGGAACTTTGTTGATACCTGTTCAAGTCCAACCCCTGTCGTGAATTTGTGTGTTTTCAATGGTATAATATTAAACTAACAAAGACTTACAGTTCCGTCAACAAACGGCAAAAATAATCCCATAAGAAAAATCCCAGCCAGCGGTCCCATAGATGCAGCAGAGAGACTGATTGTCAATTGCAAAACGGGTCCTAACATTTCCACTACGAATACTAGACCTGTCAGAAATTTATAAAGATATAAAAATGTATTGTCAATAAAGTGCTTAAGTACTGATTAACTTACCGACGCAAATACATCCAAAAACAATCACAACTGACTGCACTATGAATTGAGTTTGACGACGAGTTAGTTCTTTAGAAAATGGTTTCCAGAAATCTTCCAGAACTACAGCGGCCATAGAATTTAGTCCAGTAGATAGTGAACTGTAATAAGACGGACATGAAAAAAATTGAGAGATCCGATCTATTGATTTTAAACAATTCACAAAACTTTTTAGACGTGTAATGTTGTAATGGTGTAAATTCGAATCTAGGTTGGTAGATTTCTAAATCTCCAAAGCAAAAATAAGGTTCAGAGTTTATCTTCACCACCTTTCATCAAATAAACACTATGCTTTTACGTCCTTTGTCATAACAACAACAATGCTGTACTTGATATTGATATCTCATTATCATAATTACTAACCTCAGGGCTGCACTGAAAACGCCAGCAACGAAAACACCAGGTAAGCCCTTCCACTCACCCAAAACATCCATTACAAGAACCGGTAATAGCTGATCCTTTGCTAAAGCCAATTTAGAATTTAAAGGATCACAGTCGTGATATCTGGCATAGGCTAATAACCCACTGTACCCGCATAAACATATGATAAATACAACTCCGATAAGAAAACCCCAAACTGCTCTGAAAAAGAAAAAAATACTAAATTGTACGGTCTTAAAATATTCATACAAAACTTAGTTGAACATATAATAAATAACATTATAATATAAGCGCGCATATAAGGCAATTTCGTTTACAATTAATTGAAAGTTTAAAAGAAGATACACATTTCAGTTGTAGCTAAAGTTCACATAAGTGACACAGTTCACATTAAAACAAATGGTTTTTAACATTTAAAACGGCCAGATGGACAAATATTTTTAAACATGATGCGACGTATTGTATGTTTTACAATGACTGCGATCTAGAAAGTTCTTAAATTTAATATTTAGTTTAAATATTAACTTTAGCACAAACATACTCATTTTCCAAAAAAGTACAGAAAATCCTGTCTTATTAACTAAATAAACAAAACTATTATTTCATACTTCACTGAAGACTTTAACTCCGATAGTGCCAAGAATCTTTGCATCATTGATTGATTAACAGCAATATTTCCAATCCAATGAAACGTCGCACCAATTGTGACAGCATACACAGAATGCCGCTCTGTCATGTCAAAATTTAGTCTGAAAAAATTGATGGTAGTGATCTTTTTGGATAAGTAGTGTGAGAGCGGACACCCTATTCTGCTTACAACATAATCAAACAGTGAGCAGCAAGCGAGATACCTCCAACAAGTTTTCGAGTTTTAAAAAAAAGTTAAACATAGTTAAGACTTTATTGTAACGAACACTAAATGGTGCATCAAGATATTCTAAAAAGCAGAATTGGGTTACAGCAACTACACAATTTTCATTTGTAAAAAAATATTTACGGAGGGAATTCGATCCTACTAGTGTTCCAATTTCTATGAAAAACTTCCCCAAATCCACCGACTAATATAGTTCCCTTGATGATAACTAATATCATGGCGCCTATCATCACAATAGTTTGGATTACATCAGTCCACACCACAGCTTTTAGACCTCCCTGAAATAAAAGAAGGCATTTGTATAACAGTCGTTTTACATAGTTACGAATTCAAGCATACGAATAAATGAGGCGTTTAAAAATACGTACCACTGATGTATAGAAAATGCAAACAAGGCACACTAGAGGGGAGACTATGTGAATGTTTACTCCCGTTACTAAAAGATAAACAAATTGGTTATTAAAGGTTTATTTATATATTCTCGATATGATAGAGGCGGACAAACAAGCATGGTCATAGTAGATTAAATAACTCAGCCATATAACATTTCTTCAAGATGCTCTGTTGACCTTGGATTTTCGGAAGTCCGATTCTATATTGTATCTAGGTCTTATAAAAAAGTTTTCTCATTTCAGTATCGAAAGTAGTAATAGAACCTCTTTGGTTGTATCATGGATTGTTTGTATCTGGCTGATAAAAAAAAAACTATAATTTTACCTTGGTTAAAAGCTAGCGCAGGCACGTAGATAACTATGGGAAGCCACGCCAACTACAATTATTATTTTTTAGGCATTTAAAATAATGTATATAGATATCGTTGTGAAATTAAAATTTGTGTATTATTGATATACTCACTAAGTAAACCGTGAAAAGGACAGACCCAAAAATCCTTAACCTTTTGTCGAATCGCAGTTCCAAATACTAGAACATGTAAATAAAATTATAAAATAACTTAAAGCTGGTTTTCATATAAAACAAAATATTGCTGTCACCTCATACGCAGACGTTAGCTGCAAATCGTGCAAAACCGGAAGAAATGTATGTGATACAATGAAAGACATCATCAATGCACCGAAAATTGTAAAAATATATGACGTTCCGAATATGTACAGCTCTGTAGGGATGCCTAAAAGAGATATTCCTGAAATAAAACTGAAAGAATTCTGATTTTAAGGAAAATATATTAATATCACAGGGAGTCATAGTACACAATCATAAGTCCAGTACAAATCAAAAAATATGTTCAGTATACCTTGCAACAAGTGAAAAGCAAACGGGCAGTAATTTCATATTTCTCCCACCCATTAAATAGTCCTCTGATGAAATCTGTTTGTCTATAAAACCAAAGTAAATCCCGATACCACCACATGCACTTAACATGATAAAAAACACAGAGTAATCGATCCATGAGAAATGTTGAAACGAAACCCGAACATCAGAAACGTGAAGGCTTCCGTTGTACATTTTTACATAGAGGGTCCTATTATCAATGGACCTATAAATAAGTCTTTTAACCTCGGCGGTGGCCACTCAATTGGCGTCCCGCAAATTTCCTACGCAAGTTAAGGACGACCTATTTTGGTCTTAGGTTTTATTGAAGACATCCTCTCAGAAATAAACTGTAGATATATACTTGGAAAACCTCTTTATTTCTCTATAAATAACTTTAACCTTATATCTGATTTCAGCTTATTTCAACTCTTTCATTTATTGCTTTCATCCTGATGGAAGTTGCCTGTTGTATTTTTTCCTAAAAAGAACAGAATGAATTCGTAAAAAAGGAAACACAAATTTCATTAGATCCCATATGTTTATTACCTCTTTAGTGCCGTAGGCATTTATAAAAGGGTCTTCACTCGGATGCGGAGGATCTCTAAAGAGTGATCTTATTTGTGGGGCAAGAAGCTTTGGTGCTGGTGGTACATACGCTTTGCCACTGGCTCTGTTAACGCCGGAGACAAGCATACCCACAGACATTGTTATTAAGCAACCAGTGAGTGTGTACCACATGTACGACACGTGAAGTACTGGGCTAACCTCCACGCTGAAATCAAATTTAAATTAGAGAGCGTTTAACGCTAAAGGTAGTGAACTTCCTTCTTGTGAAATTAAAGCCCTAATCACGGATTCTAAACTTAACGATTTTTATGTCTACTAAATATAAAGCACTAAATGATGTATCGAAAACGATGACAAGCTATAAAATATTAATTTTGTTATTTTCTGATTAAATTATAAATTTGGGATAGCTTGTCTTCCAACATATGCCTTCTGCTTAACATCTCGCACAGTATTACATATAGTTTTTTGCCACATGATTTTCAAAACCCAGTTATTTTTGACTTTGGTTTAGCAATTTTTATCATTTAAATAAAACACTTTAACGGTTTAAAACGCGATATATTAGGTAAACTTATTTGAAAATGATTTTTAACTTCGGCCCGACGTTTCGGTTGCTTTGCAGCAGCCGTGGTCACGGGGAGACACACAGACGAAACGTTGGGCCGAAGTTAAAAATCATTTTCAAATAAGTTCAACTAATATATCGCGTTTTAAACCGTTAAACTGTTTTATTTAAATGTGTACTACTCGCGTAAACTATAGACAGTATTTGATTTTTATCATTCCACATTTTTTTTGTCTTCAGTAGACGGAAAAAGATAGATTAGATATTAAATATCTAACACGAAAGTATTAGCTATTTAATACACCTTCTCCATAGATGAGTGTATAGATTTTTTTATTTATTTACCTTTCTTGTACGTCAATATTGGTGTGAAGAACAGCAGTGTAATTATAGATACAACCACCAACGCTAAGAGGTTTGTGTAAATGGGATATGTGACCGCGGGCAATAGCCATTTGAGCAGATAAACACCACCAAGCCATTAGAATTAATCCAACCAGACCTCCCACTAAAGCTCCCTAAAAATAAATTTCATTTATAATTAACGTGAGTACACAATTAAAATAAACTACATTTAACGGTTTATATGTTCACCCGTGATTATTGTAAGGCGTCTAGAACGTCGGATCGTAGTTAAAACAGGCTAACTTATAATATAAAAATATATTTCGCAATTAGAAACCACTATTTTTTGTATTTAAATAAGTTTGTTGTTACGAGTACTTCGTAAATTACGTTTACTTCATTATTTTTATACATTTCTTTTATTTATAATGCTTAATAAATAGGTAGTTAAAAAAATATTATAAATTATTTTAACAACTTAAACTCCGACGTTTCGAATGAGTAGCAGTCGTAGTAACTAGAAAATTTGTTTTCCCGTGACCACGGCAATCATTTGTAAATAAGTGTAACTAATATATTTCTCGTTTTGAACCGTTAAAAGTCTTACTTAAATGTATACAGTGGGTTTTGGCGGGGGCTAAGAAAAATCTAAATTCCGAATTAAAATTTAGCTAGAACCCGAGACCTTTCGATCTACAATCATGTGTGTAGTGTCAACTTACCAAAGCATCAACCCATGGCATCAAAATGCCCATAGTAAATACACCAAGCTGTGGACCCATCGTTATAGCTTCTAATGTCATCGTTAGCTGAAGAATGGTACCAAGTTTTTCAACGACGAACGTCAGTGCTAGAATATACCGAGATATCGTATTTTTTTTTAATTTAAGCAACGTTTAGCTTTTTTAACGGTTCGGTCGTCGTAATCAAGAAATGATCTTCGACGTTTCCACTGAACGTCCCCTTCGCGTAGTCAAGAATATCGCAAAATACTTATATTAAAATATTTCAATCGTGATCGTTGAGATGACAACAACTATTTCTCAATTACGATGACTTTGTTTTTTTGTTAAAAGTTATTTAATTTTTATGTTTAGAGTATCATACAAAGCACAATATATTTATATAATATTATAGAATAGTAATTATGAAGCAGAGCTCACTCACACTAAGTGTTACTTACTCACCTAAACACAATACACCAATAAAGACAACGACTCCTCGTAATAACCAATTTGTCTGTGCGTCTGTCAGCTGTCGCTTGTAAAACGGCTTATAAAAATCTTCAAGTACAACCGCAGACATCGAATTTAAACTCGTCGAAAGGGAACTATGAAGAAAATATATTTTTTATATATGGTGAACCCTAGGCTGTATGAGATCTATGATGCGCAGTCTAATTTTGGTTTTGTTTACTCAACTCTCCACAGACTGAACCCCAAATCGAATTTATAATCGATTTTTATTTGTTATTTGCGATATTTATGTCACCCGATCTATGTCTAGATTTTACAAACATAGTCTTACATAAAACCATAAAAATTCAAGTAATTAACAAATATGCTTCACCTGGTGGCACTCGAATACATATATTACCACCCAAGAGAGGACACCGTTACTCAGTTCTGTAAGGACCCAGCCAGTTACACCAAATACCAACCACGTCTAATACCAATGCCAAAAAAGCCAAATACCAATACCAACAACGATGTAGCAGATTTAATATAAACATGAGGGACATTGCAGCCCCCTGTGACCACAGTATTTCGAACGTTTGCCCGTAGTTGAAACATTAGAAAAAGTTAACTAACATATTTCGCGTTAGAAACCGTTAAATTCTTGCGTTAATAATACCATATTAATCTTAAATTGTACCTTAACGCTGCACTGAATATGCCGGCAAGAAAAACGCCAGGTAACCCAGGCAAATCCCCAAGTACATCCATCACTAAAAGTGGCAACAACTGGTCCTTTGCTTTCGCCAACTAAAAGGTCAATTCCGAACATAACCAATGTTTATATATACAAACTGACTAAAAAAACATCTTTTACCTTTGTTTGAAGCGGGTCACAGTTGTAAAACCTTGCGTATATCAACAAACCACAGTATAGGCAGAAACAATATAATATTGATATTCCAATGCAAAACAGACACACTGACCTGAAAAAGGCGACTATTAATTTATTTGTCATTTTGGATGATAGACAATAGATAGGACAAGCATGAGGTTGATCGAAGGTGGTATACCCCAACTCATAGAACATCTAATGTGCGCTGTCGACATTTGCCTTGGGATACTCGAAAATCCAAAGAGACCGATACGCGATTGAACTTCGCGACTTTTTTATCTGTGGACGGTAGTTCGTGTCCCGGACTATCCGGATATCCAGATTTCCATGCGAAGTCCAAAATGTTGAAGAAATTTTATAAAGTGATTAGAAGTATGTTGGACCCGAATCGAGCCCACGATACGTCAAAAAACTGTACTTTAAACGTTGTACTTTAAATTTTTAAATAAAGCACAATAACGATTTTTAAAACAATAAGTATATTGCTTTACGAATTTTCTGTTTTATTTGAACGTGTACTCGCGTAAACTACAAACAATACTTAGTATTATACTCTTTAGTATATTATTAATTAACGTCAATAATAAGAAAAACTTACCATTTTGCAGCACGTAGAGTTGGAAGCGCCAAGTACCGCTGCACCATTGTCTGGTTAACGGCATTTGCTTGCAGCCAGTATATTACTCCTCCGATCACCAAGTTCCAAAAAGTGTGACGAGCGGTAGGGTTGAAATCCCAACTAAAAATCATATCAGGTGGCGTTACAGACACCAATTATTAATAATAAAGATTCCGAAGCCGTCAAAATAAAAATTACACATATGTATTTGTAACTATATGTAAAATATTTTCATAACATATTTTTAACGGTTTGAAACTGACTATCGTAGCAGTTTTGACCATGATATTAAGACCACCATGATTTAGTGACCACGGCGGTGAAACACATCCGAAACGTCGGGCCACATTTTAAATTAAAAATAAGTTAGCTTATATATTTCCCGATTGGAACCGTTAAAAGTGTTTTATTCAAATTTGTACTACTCGCTACAGTCAATACTACAGACAATGCACACAGTAGTTAAGGATACAAATTATAAGTTACAATTTTCAGAGTACTTAAAAAAAGTATAGAGGAAGTAAAATAAAAGTACGAAAATCTTATCTCAAGTTCCGTTATTTTCAAAGTATTAATTACAAGAGCTGTTTAAACAGTTTATTCGCATTTGTTTCATTAAATATAAATCATCAGTCAAACATTTCAACAGTTTAAAACGCGGAACGAATTAGTTAACTGATTTTCAATATACTTTATTTTTCGGATGCTTTGCATAGATGGCGCTAAGGCAGCAAATTTGATTTTGACATTACAGTCAATACCAGTATATAATCTATGGTTGGGACGTAGTTAAATATATTGTTTTAACTCGTTATAAGTGTTCCATAAAATAGTTTTAACAATTTTAAGTGTTAGATAGCCCTGTAATAAATATCTAATTAAACATACTTAGGTGCTTCAATCCTTCCGCTGTCCATGTTTCTACGCCATACAACATCAAACCCGCCCACATCTAGAGTTCCTTTTATTGCAACTAATGCCATTGCTCCCAACATTACTGTGATCTGTATAACGTCAGTCCATACGACTGCTTGTAAACCACCCTATTTGGTAAGAATATTAGGATTAGCAAATACATAAGGCAAGCTTTAGTAAGACAGACAAAAATACGGTTCGCTTGGTGAAGGTAAATTAATGCTCCATACCAACTATGTATTTAAGATTCGCTGTAGACCTTTTGGGTTTGGAAACTGGCTATAACTGAATGGTATATACCTAACTATTAACTATAATTACAATAAGTCTATGGCTCTTCCATTTGTGGAGGGTGATTCATCTGCGATGAAATTTTGATATGTTAATAATTTAAAAAGTCGTATGGTGGGCTATGGTTAAAATAAATTGCAAATAAGTTACCTAATATATTTCGCGTTTTAATACGTTAAAAGTGTCTCATTTGATATAATACTAAACTCGCTGGGAACCAATGACCTGTTGGTTCGTATATTGCTAGAATAACAAGCTAGTCCCAACGACTTTTTAAATACATAGCTCGCTTAAAATGGTCGCTCATTTATTGAGCCACATTAATGAATCTAAATATACTTACAGCACTTGTATAAAATATGCAGACTAAACACACTATAGGTGTTATTATATGAATATTCACTCCAGTCACTAAAACATATAATATAATATTATAACACTTACATATAAGGCCGCTAGAGGCAGAGTAGCCTAACTGCAATTTCTATGACTTGAATTATTTGAATTCTGATAGTCTAAAAGTGTTATTCTACAAGAGCACAGTGACCAAAAATTGTGAAAGTAATTCTTACACAAATATTAATTAACTTTCACCTAAGTTAATTGCACATTTTTATTTTTTCTCCCTATTGAAAATCATGTTTTTTTATTATTAGGCCACTCTGCCTCTAGCCTCATATATATGTTACGGGCTGCGTGATTAACTGGAATTATAATTAAGATCCCGCTATTATTAGTAATCCCTGACGGCCCGTCGTGCACGTAATAAGGCAGCGTTTGAAATGGCTTTAAGTAATATTCTAATCAAAATAAAACTAGATAACTGATGAACTATTCCATTTTAAATTATTTATTTCCGAATTTCTATAAATTCCATGTTAAATGGTTTATTTTTCGTTAACTTATTTTTACCTATTTCATTACTTCTCCCAAAATACGGTGATAATTATGAATACACACGGGCCATTATTAATAGTGCCCGATATCATGACATTACACGTAACATATACCTTAAAAGTTAGATTTATAAGTTATGTACCTTGATTAAACGCCAGTGCTGGTACATAAATGACTATTGGTAACCAACCAATCTGAAAACATTAAGCGCGCCTAAGAACAGGTAGTATTTTCGGAATTAGGATTTACAGGGATTTTGCTTTATATTTAATAAAGCTTAACTCACCATAGCAAAGACGAAGAGCATCGAACCAAACAAACGCACTTTATTATCAAATCTTAAAGACAAATACTGAAATCATAAACGCACAAAATTAATAGAAATCCCTAGCATATAAAACATGTTTTAAACCGTCACGTACCTCATAATTGGACGTCATTTTTAATTCGTGAAAGACTGGTAAGTAAATTTGCGTCATGAATACGGACATGAGAAATATTCCAATAATAATATAAGAATATTGGGTACCGTACATATACACTTCTGTTGGAGAGCCTAAAAGGGTTATTCCAGAAATAAAACTGAAAAATAAAAGGAATTCAGAATCAAAAGTAACATGGATTCTTGAGTTGTAAAAATCGGGGCCGTACTGAACAATCTATAATTTTACTTCAGTCTTTCCACAAATTATAACTAAATTTGAGTACTCACCTGGCGACTAACGACATGGATACCGGCAGAATTTTCATATTTCGCCCACCAAGGAGGTAATCATTTTGTGTCGTCTGCTTCTTCATGAATCCCCAGTAAACACCAACAAAGGCACTTATCGCTAACATAAATACAAATACAACATAGTCGACCCATGAAAACTTTTGCATTTTTAAAACTATATCCGCTACATTTTCCTGTTGGTTGTCCATTTTGAATGTTTGTAAGTATATTTTAAAATTCGTTCGAGAAGATCCACTAATCAAATGGCAAGTGAACACATCGTTCGAATTGAATCTGTTCAATGAAAAAATTACGATAACTCGCAATTTAAAAGAGGATGTTGCGAGATCCCCCCAATAGTTACCTACTAGCAATGAACCAGGGTCTATCTTAGTACCTATGTGTAATGATGACCAGAACCTTGACATTACAAACGACAAAGCTTTATAATGACAGATATTTACGTATGTTAACAATAATGAAAGTAATGCGATTGTGATGAATAATATGTAAAATAAAGTATTGCTTAAATAAAACGATTATAAACAGTATTTTTTATAAACCTTTTATTTCAACATAGTAGAGTAGTATTTAAATAATAACACTTTTAACTGTTTAAAACGCGAGATATATCAGTAAATTCTAAATTCGAATTCACTCTCCCATTAAATTCGCCTGATATATAACATAAATCGGGATCGGAAGAATACGAACTTCATTCAGTGCTTATTTTGTATTACAGTACATATATTAGGTTTTTTAATTCATATTAATTGAATTCTCATCGTGTTTTAGTAACAAATTCTATCTTCTAATCCTTTCTTCCAAAGCACTTACGTGACGGTAAATGAAGGGAACATCATGTTTCTTTACTAGCTAATATCATGAATTCAATAAAAATATTATTGACAGGCAATGTAATACAAAAATCTTTTGTGATATTGGAAATATAAAAAAATTCCTGTTGAGGATAGTGACCTAAGCATGTCACTATCCTCAACAGGCATTTTTTTAATAACGATTTGATGAGGAAAAATGACTAACTGATGTGAATAATAAACAAATTCTTTTGAAGTGGTGGTGGTGGGTTAGCAATTGCTAAGACACAGAAATATATTTCAATGCTATACCTAATTGAAGATTGGGAAAGAACTAAAACAATCGTTACATTATTTGGTGAATAAATATATTTTAAATTATGATATGAAACAATTTTTATTACTGATTTACTTAACAAAACATTCTTCTTATCGTATTAAAGTCTCTTCAGTACTAATTAAACATACATCTTTGTCAACAGTTATACTTAACTTTCTTCTCACACGATTTAGGTATATTTCTTTTTTATCTGTTGCTGTTCTTTATCTTCTTTTTTTATAGTCTTCTTGTAGTTATCCTTTGATTGTAATTTTTTTTAATATTTGTTTATAGTACTCAGCAATGCCTTTCTCATTTTTTTATTGTATCTTACTTTTCTTGGGGCTCTCCATCTGTTCTGGCTGGCCAGTTTTACCATACCAAAAAATCGTAATAAAAAAAGTTAATATAAAACGCGAAATATATTAGTTAAACTTATTTGAATTACAGCCGGTCGTTTCGAATGCTTTGCAGCAGCTCTGGTCGCAGGGAAAGATGTCGGGCCGTAGTTTAAATAATTTACAAATAAGTTTAACTTATATATTTATCGTTTCAAACCGTTATTTAAATGTGTACTAATCGCGTAAACGACAGATAGTATTTTAAAAAAAAGTTTGTTGCTGACTGACTGATGTCAATTGAGCGCTGAGTATGAACTGACAATTGATATTGACATGACACAAAATTGAAAAATCGCGCGTGGAGAAATTAAAAAGTGCTAACACGATTTTTATATTTTATTTTAAAGTTTACACCAATTTACACACGAAGTAATTATTATTTGTATATTTCAATTGCCAATGTTGGTGTTGTTATTAAGTTACTTAGTAATTTCTTCAAAAGTAACGTTCTACTATACCTAATACAGAATTCATTTTGGTAAACAAATAAGTTTAAGGCGACCTGTGATAATGGCGGGAATGCTACTAAGTAATGCTGAAAGATTTTATATCTGGGATGGTGTTGAGGTATGGTACTTGTACACTGTCTAATCAAAATACAATTTGTCTATTTAAGTGCTAATATAACTAATTTTTAGGAAAACTTTCGGTCAGATGGCCGTTCCAATAAAGATTACAGGCCCATGGAGCTAGAGACAGATGTTGTAAGTAGTGCAAGTGGGTCAGCTAGATTACGATTAGCCAACACAGATGTACTCGTCTGTGTCAAAACAGAAATTGATACTCCAAAATCTGATAAGCCTGGCTTAGGAAGTATTGAGTTCTTTGTGGATTGGTGAGTTTGTTTATTATTGCCAATAATGTCTTTAATATAGGCAAAATTGTATATTTAAAAATGTAGTATGAGGCGCTGCTACCATTTTGGTTTTTATTTGTTTTTTTTGCATTTGTGTTGTTGTTTAGATTTAGATTTTAATCAGGTTAGGTTTTTCCTACCTTACTGAAATGTTCATTCTTCAGCTCAGCTAATGCAACACCTGAATTTGAGGGCAGAGGTGGAGAGCAATTAGCAAATCGAATATCAAACTTATTACAAAGAGCTTACCATTCATCACAAGCATTCAATCTTAAGCAACTGTGTATTTTTGAAGGAAAACAGTGTTGGAAACTTTATGTTGATATCTTGGTAAGTATTCTTCAAATCTAATTTTATTGTAAAGATTGTTTTGTATTTTTTTATTACTATTAGTACGGATTAATATTTCAATTGTTTATTTACAATTATATTTTTCTTTGCAAAAGTTGTGGATCAATAATCTATTATATATTTCAGATATTAGAATGTGGAGGGAACTTATGTGATGCTGTATCGTTGGCCGTTAAAGCTGCATTATTCAATACTAGAATCCCATTTGTGAAAGCAGCATTAATGGACGGTGGAAACATAGATTTACAATTGTCAGATGATCCATTTGACAGTAAACGGTTAGAAGTGGGAACTGCACCCTTATTGGTAATTCAATTATTTGTTTGTTCTATACCGGAAAACAATAGTATTCTCCCTGCACATTTTTAAGCTTCATCATATTCAACAGGTAACATTATGTAGAATGGATGAAGAAAATATAGTTGACCCGACGGCAGAGGAAGAGACCTGCATCGCTGTGTCTATAGTTGTTGGAGTATCTGGCAACCCTGCACTTTACACCTCAAGTGAGGATACTACACCAAGTGACCATAAATGTACCACAATCAGCATGAGTGGAAATGGAGGAATACTTCCTGACGCTATGAAGATTGTTATTGCTGAAGGAATGTAAGTATTTCATTAAATAATTTTAATTACATGTAATGATAATACATATAGTGAGTTTTTTAGAAATTCAATTATTAATTTTGTACCCATAATCTGAGTAATATGGTTTCCTAGTATTAATAGTCTATGGTATGAAGTTAGCTTCACTTTTGTTGCAGAACTGCTGCTAAATGTTTAGATGAAGCTTTAGGCAGAACCCTTCTTCAAGAACGAAATCGGACTAATTTGCAAAAAAAGGACTCTTATGGTTTTCTTAAATAAAATCCTGTAATGGATAGTTAAATAAAAAATAATTTTACCCATACACCTTTATTAAAATAAAGAGATTATATCATATAACAGCATATTTTGAAATATCACAATGTTTCTCAGGCCCTGTTTAATTCAATCAGTTGTCACATTCTTTACATATAAGAGAATGAAATACCTACACCTACTTTTCATGTTCATAGTGTATGTGGAACAAAACTAGGTAAGATTGATTTGTTATTTAGGCAAGAAACAAAAAACCCTATGGGTTGGGTGGGTATATGTGAATAATTGTTCTTACTCTAGGGATAAGGTATTATTTAAGGCAAAGATATTAGGAAATGCTGAATAGGTACCTAGTGGAATGCAATGCAATACTATGCTAAGTAGATTTTTTTTCAGAATTGATGATACATTACTTTCGAGTACAATTACAATTGCTACAGGAAAATAATAATTATAGCGATATTTAATAACACAATTACTTCTTAGGATTAGTTGGAGTAAGAAGATCCAAAACGGCCGAAATGTTGCCATCCTTGCTTTCAAGAAGTTGGGTCAACCAACCACCTTCATTTGTAAAGCCCATTGCTGTCATCTGCTCAATAGCAGCTTGTATATGAGCTACTGAAAAAAGCGTAACCATTGTGTTGTAATAATCGAATATGTCATTGGTGATACATAATATAAACTTGATTAAGAACAACGGACGCATATAGTTTATTGAATCACTAATAGCTATATTAAAGTTAATTGAGTAAAATATACAGGTTGATGTTCAACAATAATGTACCAAGTAACAAAGAACTGAAAAAAAAAGTGAGTGAAATACTGACTAACTATTAAGTAAAATACCCCCAGAATCAATGATCTATTTATATTCTATGGAAATATATTTACTTGGATGGCGGACAGAAGTGTCAGGCTTAGTAGAGGCCTTGGCTGTGTTGTCTTTTGCTTCGGGTATTGCAGTGTCCTCTGGAGCACTCGGTTGGGGTGCATCTTGAATGTCAGCTTGTGGATTCAACACTAAATGTTCAAACGTTATATGAATCATTGAAATTTAGCTACCAATAAATAAAGTCTTAAATTACAAACTATGAAAAAGACATTTACCTGCAGTAGCAATGTTTAGAGGTGGATAAAGACTTTGCCCAGAAATGCGCACGCGCTCTCTAAACTCCTCTGGCAGGTTAAAACCAATTGGTGGGTCAGGTTCATTGGCCTTGGCTTCGGAATCCATTAGATCTTAAACAGAAAAAAGTTTGCATACAAATGGCTTGGAGAAATGATTTATAATGGCTACCCTGTTATCTAGCTTGTTATAATAAATTAACTAAATTCATAACTCTTTTTTAATGTTTTTCGTTTGTATCAAATATTACCAAATTAGAATTCTAAGTCTCACCTTTGTTAATTACTGTCCAACCATCTGCTTTGTCAGGAGACTCCTCTTTTTTAATTTGAGAAGCATTAGTGGTTGACGACACGTCAGACTTCACACTATCCTTATCGGTCTCTGATGACTTCCTATCGCCCTGTCCCATTTCTACATCTGGTTCTGGTTTGGATGTTGATGGTTGAGGTACAAACGCGTGCAAGTTGCCTCCCAACATATTAAGAAGCTTTTGCACATTGTCAATGGTTAAATTGTCAGCAGTAAAAGGACATTGCGGAAGTTGAGTCTTCGGCTTTTGTTGTTGATTAGGCTCCGAGCTCCCGGTAGCAGTCGGTTTAGGAGTTTCTTGATTAGTTGGCGTTGGCTTTGGCGTTTCAGTCTGGTTAGGAGTTGATTCTTTAGGTGCAGTCTGACCATCACCAGGTTCAAGACCAACATCACCAGCCAGGTTAGCAAATTCATTCATGTATGTGGCGAAAGTCTCTAGCCAACTAGTGCGTGAACGACGGCTGTGGTCCTCGCGACTCTGACGGCGATGACCATGACCATGGCCGTGATCACGACGCCTTTCACCCTCATGGCGCTGCCTCTTGCATTGTTCCTCATTAATCGCACTCAGTGTCTTCAGGAAATGACGCGATCTCTTTACTGCGGCCTTGATGACCGTACGCTAAAATAGTGTAAATAATATATTTAGTCACAATTTTACTTTTTCAAATTACTGATTATTAACATTTATTTCTATTATAACGCGAGATATATTAGTTTATCTAATTCAACATCTTTTTTAAGAGCATTACTGATAAAATTTCCTATAAAATAAAAACATATAATATTGAATTTAAAATTTAAATTAGAAATTATGTTTAGCAAAAGAATCAGAATTGTTCAAGAAACCTGAAAATCATTAAAACAAAGTACTTACAGGTAGTGTTGGTGCTGGTACACGGACCATGCAGTGTTCAGGATGAAGCCCAACTGCCTCACATTTTGAACAAAGATCATAGTCATCACACGATGTACATTTGTATCGGAAACCAGTCACAGGCATCTCACACCCATCGCAAACTACTCCACTATGTTGAACATTACCACTTGCTACAAACAAGTTTTAAATTATGAAAAATAATAATACTTAAAATGATAGATGTATTGTTGGTCACTGAAAGTAGTATTACAATGCATAAATGTATCCCCTTTTAATTATCAACATCCAAACGTTGATTGTTACGTAAATTAAGTAAAAAGAAATGTCTAATCTCTAATGTTTCTTTTACTAATGAAAAAAAACAAATATACAATACAGTCCCTAGAATATAATTATGCGCACCATGATTAAGCAATAATAATAATTAACCTCATACATAGTTTACTACTCTATACAGTTTGATGTATTGTTTGCTAAATAATCATATAATTATTACATATTTAAGATGTACTTACTTCCAGGGTTATCAGAAACAGCAGTAATTACTATATCACAATCATCATTCCTTTCTTCACTCTCCTTGCAGTGAACATAAAGTTTTTTCAGATCATCAGACATAGAAGTGAGTGCAATCATTATCTCATCATCCGATGAAATGGTCACGTCATCACCTTCTTCATCTAGTAGACAAATTTTGGTTTGTAAACATTTAATTGATTTAGTGTGTAATTTCACATCAGTCAATATAAAATTATGCAATTGTTTAAATATAATAAAGTCAAATATTAAATTGAATTTGGCTCATGAATTAAAAATATAATTAATTCAATTCATTGTATGTTTGAGAGCATTGAACTATCAAGGCCTAGAAAACAATTGTGCAAGCAATATAATATGGAATTGCATCATTATTTTAAATTACAATAATATTTTGTCAATCAAAACCAAACCTTTCCAAGATACTGTAAAATGTTTCCCACGAAGCTTAGGATATATGTCTTGAAGTTTAGCATTCAAATACTGAAAGCTACTGACAACATCCCTTCCAATGCCAAATCTTCTCACCTCTGGTTTTTCGTTTTCTTTCCAAAATGTATATACTTTAAATTGTACCTCCATTCTTGTTTTGTTTGCTATATAAATAAACAAAGATGTTATCTTCAAATTGCTATAACGTCTAATTGCAATAAGATACAGACTAATTATAAGTCGTTTGCAGCAGCCATTTTGTTGCTAGTAACTAAATATGGTTTTATATTGTAGTTCTATCGCCAAATTATACAGAATTTCTCACTTATAGTTTATTAAGTCATAAAATAATGGGACTCTAAAAAATATGTACCTGACAATTTTACCACAACACTTTCTAAAAATGACTCGCTAGACCTGCAATATGTATACTATTTTAACACTAAGTTTCACGCAAAAACAAAAACAACGATAAATTCTACGACGTATAGAGAACGAATGATGTTTCGCAGCGCGATCGTTTATTTTATATGTTGCTTGAATGTAATGTGTGGAAAATGATTCATCACTTACCGAACATTGGAGAATATTATAATATTCTGATCTGTTGTGCAATAACAAGTTTTGTTTTGGTCTGGTCAAAATCAAAATATTACTCAGTCATCACAATGCAGTCAAATATGAAACTGACAGCGTCATTTTTTGTCGATACTTGACACTGACGGTTTATTCAGACGACTTTTTTGTTCTATAGTCGTTGCTATAGATAACAATGACATTAACCATGTTTCGGTTTCAGTCTCTGAATTTCCAAATATCCACAATCAAAATATGATAATAGGTCTAGACAGTCTATCTAATCTCACATTGTTCTAAGGCTGGAGAATTTTCCCTTCCATCAAATGAATAAATTTATACTGTAGTTGTCCGTAAACGAACGAAAAGAATGAAATATCAAATGCTGTATTGCCTACGTTGGGCATAGAACAGATGCATTTAATTTCACCAAGATCAACGGTTCAGCTCTCTCTCACACATACACACCCACATTGTGGTTCAAACTATAGCTGCACTTTAAAACACTGTTGTACGTCCGGACGCACAACAGTGTTTCACTCACCTAACACTCACAAAAGACGTTTCACTCACCTCAATTCGACTCAACGTTTATTTCAGCCAGAGAGGCGGTCAACTACCAACTAGGGTAGTTTAAATAGACTTAAATGAGCTGAAGCAAAGAAAAATAACTTTATAAATACGAAATAAAATATACACATACGTTCTTAGTATTTATTATAAGTAAACAATATATTTCTATACAATATCCTTGTTTATTTACACAAGGTGCTTTTACCTACTTATATCTTGAAAAAAAAAACTAAAATTTATTATATGATAAATAAATTAATCTTGATGTTCTTTCTCAATTGCTTTTTTTGTATTATCTTTAACGTAAGTAGTGTCATTAACAAATTTCACAGGTCCTCCAAGTTGTACAGTTTCTGGGACGGACAACTCTTCATTTATCTTTTTTGCAAGGAAGTATATTTCTGCTAAGGCTATTATGAGGGCGCACATGACACCAAGCAATAGTCTAAATCCAAAATCTAAGTTGCCAACCATCCATTCTACACCACGGAATCCAAATAAGAAGCCAGCAAATATTGATAATAAAAATTGACCAATAGCTATCAAGTGGCGATTCAGTTGTTTCACTGGAATAAAAAGTCTGGTTAGTCATATGATAGAGGTATTAAATTAATGTTATTTCATGATAACTAATGTTAAATTAGGCTCTATGCATAAAACATAACAAGGAAAAAGGCACATAATATTATCTTTGTTCAGGCTATTTCCTTCATTGGAAATAATGCAACACCAAATTTTTAATGGATTAATTCACTTACTTTGATATGCAATACTGTCTTCTGGATAGTGTATTCTAACATTGTCTACACCTTTTGTCATCTTTCTATACTCTCTTGCTTCTTGCTGAGCCCTAAGTTTAACACACCTTGCTTCTAAATCAGGGTTCCTTTTGTGTATAATGTTATTTGGCATTTTTAATTCCGCTCCTTCCAACAATTCATGTAAATAGGGAAGGGATTTTTCTTGAGTACGCTTGTTTTTTAAGTAAATGTAGAGCCAGTCCAAATCTATGGTAGTCAAGTAAGGTTTATCAACATCTTCTATATATTGTAATTTTGTATTTTCTAAGATTTTTTTTTCTTTGATATCATCAGACAATGTTTCTTCATTTTTATCTGTGCTCTCCTCCTTATTGGCCACCTCATTACATTGTAAACTGCTTTTTACCTTATTTATTGTTTCAAAATCTGAATCAAATAGTTGAATAACATTTGAATCCACTACTTCATTAGTTATTCTTCCAGGTTTATTATGATCCTTTATGATATTTAGGATATTTGAGGGAACCTCTTTGGAAACTGGTATGGTCTTTAGAAAGTCAGTCAAGATTTTGGAAGGATAAATTCTAACATTGGTATCAACAAGAGAACCTTTAAGATCCATTATTTATTGGTGATATTTAACTTGTGATTAAGGTCTGCATACAAATCACGAAGTTCTTCCTCTTTTTCTTCAAATGTATTATCAATTCTCTTGCATCTAAAGTTCATGTCATCAATAAATTGATCCCATTCTTCTTTTCTCTTCTCCTTGTTTTCTAATCTCTTTTTCTCTGACTCCTTTAATATTTGGAAAATATTACAGGAAATTATATATATCAAAAAATAAAAAAGATTGTTATTTTATTAAAAAAATATCTTACCTTTTCAATTTCTTTGTAATCTTTATCAATAATTTCTGTCAAATCTAGAGCTTGTTGCAATTTTTCCTTTAATACCGGTAAACCTGTTGTGGAAATTCTAGATATTTTGTCTACTTGAGTGTCCTTGATCTCTGTTATATCTTCAAGAATACTGAATAAGTTTTCTACTTCCCTATCACCACGTTTCTCCTGTAGAAAAACGTTATTTAAAAATGTGTTATAAAGTGAGAAAGTAAATATGTGTGTAAAGCCCCAAGGGAATGTTGTTTGTCAGTGATTAATAATCATTACACTTGTGCACAAGTGTAATGAAATAATAAATGTGGACTATTATACTCTTATAAGATGTATAATTATATTAATTATAAATTTTAGATGGAATGCATATTTACCTCAAATTCTTTTAACATGAACTTTATTTCTCCATTCAAGAACGGTCTATGATCAAATAGTCTTGACCAGATTTCACCAATTTCTGAAATATGATAACTTAGTAGTTTACCTATTGCATTGCATAGAAATGAATATTAAACTTAATTTTTAAGACCTTTTCTAAGATCATTAGTATATATTTAAAGCCTGATTAAAATATTGATTAACTGACCTCGTGACAACTCCGTCATTATTTTACTACAGACTATGTAAATAAGTTTTCTACGCTATTTTATACAGAATAATAAAGTAGTTATATTATATTACAAAGCTTGTCACAATGTTCACACATCTATTTTATTATTATTATTTATTTTCTTTCGGGGACACCTGTGGTAGGACGGGTGATCTGTCCACGTTATCAGCTGACCGTTTCACCCATTTCCCCATTACATCTATTTTAAATTCTCATTAACTATTATTTTCATGTTTAATTAATTTGTTAAACATTTATATTATTTTATAAATAAACGTATCCATCAATGGATGAAATAAACTATAACTGTATATACCAAAAAAAAAATTTTTTTTTTTTTATTCTTTTTTATTTTATAAGCCATACATCTTATGATTAAGTCAGCAAAATAAATATTATATTTTTATATAAAATTATACTAGCAATACTAAAACGGTCAGGCATTCATATGTCAATTGTCATAAATTTAAAGTTTTTGATTCATGCAATTAGTTGGTTCATTCATGATCTCGCGAAAGGGTGTGTATGTCTCAGTTAACCACGGTGTAGTTGTTTTTTAAATCGCAACAGAATAATTTTGCTAAAATGTGATTTCATTGTTGACATCGTTCATTGTGCATATAAAGTGGAAACAACTGTTAACCATGTGGATGTGTTTTACGTAGATTAAATTGTGTGTTATTTGATTAAAAGTGATTGTGCAGTGATTTGTGGTCACCATGCCGGGTCTTATTGGCGTTGGTGAGTTTATTGAGGAAACTCGAGAGGATTACAATTCACCGACCACCTCCACCTTTGTTTCTCGAATACCACAATGCCGACAAACGATCAGCGCATTGGAAGAGGTAAGGCAATGATAAAATTGTAAAATTAGTATCACTATCAAATCTAAACTAACCTTTTCCGTATTCTTTAAAATCCTATTTTGGGTCTTCATTGTTAAATCTGTTAAGATAATAATACAATAGATTTACAAATCCAGTAACTGAGCTACTAACAAGAATCCTGTTAAAATGTATTCACTAAAAGTCTTAGAAATAATACCTTTTATACACAATATATTTATATCACAGGAAATGATATGATTGTACAAATGAGGGCTTATGTAAAATTGTTCAATTATACATTTTAATTTTTATGAAATGGGTGGGATTCCAACTCATGGCTTTTGTTTTATTTGTAAATTGGAAAATTGGTAGATATTTTTTTTATAACGAAGTAGTATATTAAATACTAAGCTTGTATTAAAGAAATTAGGAATATTTAACATATTTTTCAATTTACAAAGACTTTTAATTCATATTAAAGTGATGGAACAATATAAGTAGTATCCCTTAGAATGGCTTCTAAAAATTTCTTCTATAAATTTTCTATTATTTCACATAATAAGTTTTGAATACATGTTAGCCATTACTTTATTTGCATATTTAAAACTAGATTGAGCTAAAATACAAAACAATTTTGATGATATTTCCATTTTGCTTCCCCATGTCATTTTTAAGAACTTTATATGGGTAAGGAAATTAGCATTCATAATAAAAACATGTCTGACTCAACCTAACTCGCAGACATATTCATATTGAAATATATACCTACTATGATTTAAGTTTGATGTATTATTGTTAATTGAGCAGGTACATACATTTTTGTGAGTCATTTGCAATATCACCATTTAACACTAAGATACATTATTACTATAGTATACCCATACAAATTTGTTTAGTAAGTACTTGGGCCAAAGGGGGTAACACAAACATGGAGGTGTGTCCCCAAAGTTCATATGTGTAAACTAGGCAAGAAATTGTAAAATTAAGTGTGTTTTAAATAAAAATCTTGGGTTTCAGATAAGTACTTAGTTAAGTAATAGTGATTTGGTAAAATTGGTTCTTACTAAAAATTAAAAAGAATGGCTTAGAACATACGATTACGATACTTAGAATTTGGTTGCTTAAATTAAAGCTTTTTTTCTAAGTATGTTTTTATTTTAGATTGCTTAACTTAAGACCTAATAAAACACTGGTAATTCCATAATTACGTCAGGCCTTTAAGGCAACCTATTGTACTTCGTCGAACATTTCCGCATAGACAATATTCCTTTGTTATCTAAAGGTATCCAAAGCGTTAGTATTCGTCTATAAATAATATCAATTTTTTGGGAATCTAGTAATATAAATTTGAATTTCGTCTCCCCATAATCGTAATTACCTAATTGATTTCTGCGGCAACGACGTCTGTAATAGCTTCTACGAGTATATTAATAATCTATACTACTATATAAAGCTAAAGAGTTTGTTTGTTTGAGCGCGCTAAACTCGGGAACTACGGGTTCGAATTGAATTGAAAATTATTTTTGTGTTGGTTGGAGCATTTATCGAGGAAGGCTACACACCGCGCTGCGACTAATAGAAGCGAAGATACAGCGGGAAATGTGAACAAAACGGGGGAAATTTTTCATCTCTGTGGATTTCAGATGCGTACGCTGCGAAAACGGTTCAAGATACCTAAAAAATGTTCCTTTAAATGATCTAAATAAAGTCTGCGACGCTATATGTCTATCTTTTAAGATTAACTTGCAAGAACGACGGAAAGGGACGCGATCGACGTCGTGGCTAACAGCTTACGTTTATAAAGATATCGGGGATTGCAAAACTAATTTGAATGCCTAAACTAACGATTCTCGCGGACGAAGTCGCAGGCACAGCTAGTAATTGTTATAAAATTAACACCGACTTTCTGTCCTTGTATTTGTTCCCCATCTGACTTTTTTATTAAAATTATTAACAACAATAAAAATAAGTTCAATTGCTACAACAACGAATTCCTTTTAACCAGTCTTCAGGGACCTTTTCAGTGGCCTTAAAATAAAGCATTGTCTGATCAAATTGTGCCCTTTTTCAGCGAAGAATATATAGATCCTGCTAATTTTGCGATTCTCTTTTTGTTTATACACGATACAAGCAACAACCTGTAGCTTCAATATTTGTTTTTAACTTGATTCATTTGCAATGCATATTTTTAAAATATACACCAGGGCATAATATCTTAAAAGCACTTGCTTAGTCGGTCAGGATGGTTTCCTTGTGACCTATTTTGTCAGACGCGGCCCTCACTTGCCTGCATAAAAATGATAACCAAAAACGTTGGTTTAACGAGAGTTACAAAATTAACGGCTTGACCCTTATCCCTAATATGTTCTCATCTGAATATTATCCATAAATCTGTCTTAAGCTGAATAAAGTTATGTATATTTTTGAAAACCGTTTTACCAATGACTCTTATCTTAGGTGCTATAGTACTCAAATTAACATACTACTTATTTGTGTTCAAATTTCCGTTACTTATAAAAATACTTAGTCTGTTAAGGTTGTTCTGATTTTTAATGTATAACACATCTACGTGTTCCATATGCGAAGAGAACTAGAATTGATAGTAATCGTATATACTTACTATACATACTTTTAATATATAGATAATGAATTATAATATAAATATTTCTCATGTAAAATCTTTGCTGATGCTGCTAAGCTGTTATTCGTGAACTGGTATTGATTAATAATGCCGGCTGGTGCGGCAGATGTTTGACGCTCGACCGAATTGAATAGCCCGTGGATCCTATTGTGATTACGATCGCAATGTTGGTACTAACAATCATTCAAAAATAAGGTCAAAATCACGTGCTTTCATAAGCACGGTAGATAAGGGGGATATTTGACATTGGTTTTTTTTTTAATACCTAAATAAAATGGGTAAAATTTAAAATTGTTATTTAATTTAGTCGTTGCTTTTAGTCACAGCATATTTCATTATCCTTAACTTAATACAGGGGAATAATTTGGAAATACGTATTTCGATTAATATTTATTAAAGTTTTCTAATTATTTAATAAAGAAATAGAGCTAATTTATGACTAAATTATCTGTAAAATGATTTTATAGTGGTATAAAATCATTTTACCTTAGTAAGGTAAATAAACCATATTCAAGTATTGGGGGCAGAATTTTAGAGCCTGGAGAGAGCTCCTAATTCTAAAGTCCAGGCCGCTACTAAGAATATTATAAAAAAAGTACTGAATGAAAGAACTTACAAAATACACTAGTCCTTGCTACGATTCTTAAAAGTGTTATGTTTCCCTGACGTGTGATCATCGCATCACAGGTCAATTTCCTTATAATGGGACCACCTTGAAAATATCTCTTTTCCAACGGAAAATGAATTATTAAAATTGGTTCATGAGCGACGAAGCTATGCGCGAACAAATATAAAAATACACGAATCGAATTTAGATCCTACTTTTTTTAAGTCGACTAAAGATACAAAGTAACATAACGCCCGAAGCCAGTTTTCGAAACCTCGTGATCAGGAGTCGTATGCACTAATCACTAGACCAACAGAAAGTAATATACAATACTTATGTATTTGCTTGTTACCGTGTATCTTAAATGCACACAGTTAATTTTCAACTATTATCTTCTTAGAGAACAAATAGTCCAGGGATTGTTCTTTGTAAAGAAATGTATTCGAAATTTTGTTACAGACGCTGGATTTCGACCGCGATGGCCTGACGAAGCTCAAAAAAGCTATAAAAGCTATACATAATTCTGGAAATGGTAAGCAAGTTTTTATTTAATATATAGCACTTTAACGGTTTAAAACGCGATATATTAGTTAAACTTATTTGAAAATGATTTTTAACTTCGACCCGACGTTTCGGATGCTTTGCAGCAGTATCTCCTCGTGACCACGGCTGCTGCAAAGCAGTTAAAATAAAAACAAGTCGACCGGTAGTTAAAATAATTTCCAAATAACTTTAACTCATATATAACGCGTTTTAAACCGATTAATGAGAATACAATAATGTTAAGACTGGTTATCTATGAAAGAATTTGGTGTTTATTCTTATCGCAAGTCATTTGGAAAATAGGTATGAAGTACACATCTACCTACTCTGTCTAATAAATTACTCAGTTATTCAATAGGTATAATGTATCTCAATATAGCTACAAACGTTTCAAGTTTCGTCTCTCGTACAAAGGAGATTCTACTAAAATAGTTTCGGAAGTATGAGGGATGTTTTATATATAGCTTGGTCGTTTGTTACATCGCCATTAGGACGTGCGTGGATCAACTATTTTTATTTGTATATTGTTTGAGTTTCTATGGAAGAATATATAAAGACATTTACTTAAATGTACATGGAATAAAAACCGATGTTTCAGTCAATTCACGTAAGCTACCCCTCGTGCAGCTTGTTGATTAATCGAATAGCGCGAACAAGTGTTTTCTATAGCAAATTTGTTATTGGTATGCTTTGAATCGCCTCTATACATTTGAAACATTAATATTGTAACAAAATTTTAAAGTAAACATGTTTCACATCATGTTTACTTTAAAATTTGAAAATGATGGCACTATAGAGATCGACTTAAAATTGAAAATAATACGACTCGGGAAGGACTTGAACTCCGTGCTGTCGCTCTAACCAAGCTTGAGCTACCGAGCCTCCAAAGAAATTGGTCTCGAACAACTCAGTTTTAGGACTATCTAATGAGACATGCGATAGTTTCACTAATACCTACATAAGATGAAAGTTCTTGGATTGTTCCATCTATTCATCGAACTTTGCTTCAGAATTTCGTGAGATCGATGAGATGGAATGACCTAAATTCTGGTACTACTGGCGTCACGTGTATCGGCTTAGAATTATTATGAAATACCTACTGCCAAAAGGGTACTCCTACTGGTATTGTTCTTTTATAAGGAGGACAGAAGCATGGCGCTCACGTGATGGGATGTGAATTACCCCAGCCTTACTGCAATTTACAAGTTATCGACGTATTTTGGTTTTGAATGTATTTGGAGATACCACAGACTGTCACAGAAACGCGATTAAAAGCTTTCTTTTCTAAATTTCATCTGTTGACAGTGGGTTGTGGTCTGGACGGAATTTCGATATTCCTACTATTCATTTAATATCCAGATTTCCAAATTAAGTCGAACATGTCTCAGAAAAATTGATTATTATTTTTGCTGAATTCATTTATATCGCATATCCTTCACATCTATTATGATTTGTCCTTCGCAAACTGTTTTCGGATGATGTAACGTTATCTTACTCTGCCGTTGTCCCCTTAAACTTATTTTTCCAAAGAGAGATATGTGACTTTGGTTTTCTACGGGCGGTACTGTTTTCATGTAATGCTTAATGTATTAAATCTATGCTTTTATAATAAAATATTGGGGTTCATAAAATAACGCGTCATTTATCAATCTAGAACTGTTTGTGTGTCAAATTCCGATACAATTCTATAGGTACCTACGGTTAATAGAGGTCTCAGCCGTCCGAGTGGCGAGTTTCCCTTCACGTGTCACGAGGAAAGTGGGTCGATGTCTGGTTTCGCCTGCCACACGAGATCTGTGCTTGTCTACGAGTTATAGGCGGTTAGATTGAATTACCAAATCGGTACCTACCGGAAATTATAAAGTTACAGGCCGAAATAAAACAATATTACTTATACACGTACACGTATTCATAGTAGTTATATCGTCACTCTAAGTTTTCGACGATAGTTGAATTTTTATCTACACTGACTTTACGGCAGAAGACATGCATAGGGTACACTAGATGGAAGGTCGAAACCTAAAACTGATACCGTAACGTGAATTCACATATTACTTTATCATTGGTGAACGGGGGGTCGCCCGGAGGAGGGAATTGATATTCTTACCAAACCAATGTTCAGGCCTTTGAGACAAAATCCAACATGTTTAGAAATATTGAAATTTAATTTTTAGAAACATAGTGAGAATAGAAGCCACCGTCAATTAATTATTAATCGTTATTTACCATTGGAGCGACGAATCCCGTCAGCCCGGCCACACTGACTTAATTTCACGTGTACCAGAAATCTCGTTAATTAAAAATGCTCTAACCTTAACTGGGGCATATCGTATACTCTGCAATAAGGCCGCAGCGAGTAGGCATAGTTAAATTGCTCGAAAGAGAAATCTACATTAATGTCGTCAACACACATACTCGTAATATTATAATGTGACCCACTTCGCGAATGAAACTGTTTTATATCTATAAATAGAAAAATCACGGCGACTTTCCCTTAATTCCGTTTGCCGAGGTTCGTTTTATAGCAGTTTATTGACATATAATTCCATCGCGTGCTAGGGTTTGTTTATTGCCAAAACTGGTTCGTCGGGTCGGGTTGCCGCAGCTGCGCAAGGTCGCGCTCGGCTGCAAAAAGCGAAGCGATGCAGTGCATATTTTGCGCGGTCTCAAATGTTCGCCGTTAGATTTAAAAACGATGACGAATTACTTACTAACGAAACTGTGTATCTTCATTTGCCTAGATAACATTGAAAGACTATACAAGTAATTATATGTTTATACGTAAAAATATTACCCAAATTAACACTTTGATTTTTACATGATGGCATTATATAAATTAAAAATCTATTTATATATTTTTTTTTATTTCTCCATCTCCACATCGATGCGCCAGCTCAATTGGTTAGACCTGCAGCACATAACGCTGTGGACTCTGTGGTTCAAGGCCCGCTCGTGTCGTCAAATTTTTGAAATCCATATAAACCTTAATTTAATCTAATACATCGTTATAATAAAAATATGTACAAGAACGCGTTGTTCGTTACGATCTGTTGATGTATATAAATAAATAAACACGAAGACTCACGATACAGGTATTAAAGTCGCTGAATTATTTTAAAGTGAACGATAAATTGTATATATACATTCGACATTCAGCGATGCCAATATAACGTCGTTTATGGCGATCGCCCTTGGCATTTTTCCAAGAAGCGATGGAGGTTCTTCCACTTGCATCTGATTCTCTCTGTGATTTATCATAACAACCGACGAATCGCACGTGTTTACTGTTTGTTACCTTTTTACTTAGAATGCAATCCAGCAGCGGAGAAAGAATGAATTGATGACGGGCTTGTTGATCTGATGGTTTCGATGTATGTTTAAAAACCAACGGGTCACGGATTCGATCTCCATTGAGTCCAACATGTTTTAATCTATTTATATATTTTTCTGAAACTTGTTAGACTACCATCACAGAAAAAGCGATGAAATTTTATCCGTTTCAGTCTGCTTGTCTGTTCTGTATCATAAAAAAATGTAAAATTTTGTATCGTATTGAGATCGCCTATGTATCTAATCGTTCAATTGTCATTGTCAAATACGTGGTCAAGTATTGCGTTAAGTTAAGGATTTCTGGGTTCAAATCCCGGGGAAACGTTCAATCGTTGCGGTTAGGCAGGGCACAGATATCTGATCACTATCATTAAACAAAATTGTTCACAGAATTCTTTTTACCCCATGTCCCAGAAGCTAATTACATATAGAACGGATATCTATTGATGTATTGGATACAAGGATGCTTTAAGTGTTTTACTTTTCACTGTAAACTATACGCTCATTTAAAATTCACAGCGTAAAATACTTTCGGTAAAAGTCATGTTTTTAAAGCAGTTCCGTGCTTTCATTTTCGGACATTTTGTCTGTTGAAAACCTCGTCGCATCAATCTATACGAAGCAGTTTTTTAGTACAAGCCCCGTGGTAACTTGTATCTGTGCCATAGTAAGGACACGTAGTATTTTTAATTAAGGTTAATCTTAGAATTTCTAATGAAAAAAGATTGTGAATATTTTCATAGAGCTTGACGGTAGCGGAGCGAGCGAGCTACAGAAGAATTAATCTTACAAAACTTGTACTTTTCCTTTAATATTGAAATGACATAGTAAATGATAAAGACTGTCTATTGTCTATTGTATACACATTTAAATAAAACACTAACAGTGTAAACCCTTTTAAAGTAAAATTCGCGTTTTAAACCGTTAAAGTATTTTATTAAAATTATAAATAATATACATTATGTGGTAAATATACACACATAGTTGTAATTCATTTGTCTTACAATTGTGTAATGTTTTACTTTAAATTGTTCACTTATCATAAAATCTTTTAAACCTATTGAGTCCCGCGCTCGAATTCTGGGGAACGAGTTAAATTCGGCACTCTGGCACGACACAGTTTGATTAACTATACCTGTAGATAAAAGCGATAAGTGAAACGGAATTTATGATTTCCCCGGAGCGTCATTGTTCAAGTTGTAATTGGAATAACACTAAAGCGATTTTGTAGTATACGACCGTTTTGCAACTATAGTAGAGTTCCGCTTTAATCCGGCTTAAAGTTGAAACTAATTGAATATCCGATAACGAGACGACGCTTCGCTTCGTCAATCGCTCGACTCTCAAACTGAATCATTGTAAAAGCAGCTAAGCCTCCAGTTGTAGCGAGGCTCGGATAATTCCTCTTAAGTCATTTGTTTTGACGATTAGACGTCTTTAATGCATGGCATGCTAAATGAATTAAGTAATTGTCTTGTTTTCCACTGCTATAAAATAAATAAAACACACAAAGGTACCGACGGGTGCTAAAAACTATCAGACAAATAATTTTGAAACGACGCAACGACAAACCTATAAAGGTATTAATATTACTCTAGTAGTACGTTAAATAAAACAAACTATAATTGAATAACTGTGCGCTGTCTTGAACTTGTGTATTTTGTATAAATGAAAACATTTTTATAGTGGACATGTTTTTTTATGTATATGTATGTAATGTTACATTTAAAATGTCAAGCGTGGGGCTGTACTGAAAATCAGCGTTGTTATTTTGTTTATTTGTCTAATAAAATTCAATTGATAATATTATAATTTTCTTATTTTACTGGGTAATATTTAAGCTAACTTAATTCAATTATGATTTAGATAGTTTGTGTTTATGACAGACAAACACGGTTCACTTGATGGAAGCCGAAATACCCAAGCTATGTAGCTTCAAAACAAAACGTCTATTGAATAATCGGAAATTCACAGAATGACCTAAATGCGAATATACAAATTACATTGCTTATTTGTGGAGGGTAGTTTGTGACCCGAACGGAATTTCGAAATTCCCACCATGGATGTTGTGAAGATAGGCCCATCATAACTAGTTCTGTATGCATTGATATAGCACGGGTTTATCCATGTTATGTTGGATTTGTTTTCAGCTCACGTGGACAATGAGATGTACTTGTCTCGAGCGCTGGAGAGGCTCGGTGGAAACGCACTCAGCAAAGATTCCGAGCCTGATATTGGCGCGGCTTTTTTTAAGTTCGCCGTTGTCACCAAAGAGCTGTCTGCCCTCATGAAGACGTTGGTGAGTAGCCTCCCCTTATAATTGTACAAGGGACTTGCATATTTATTTAACCGAAACATTCATTGAAAAATGTTTCTTGGATGGTCTTATAATAATATATTAATAAGGAATAGCGACTGTCTCAAAGGTACAGTAGTCCAATGAATAAAAGTAAAAATCATTTAGTACTCACGTAAGTAATTAGGTACACTTATGAAAGTCACGTCAGTTAAAAAACTACAGGCTTATCTTTCTTGTTAGAGCGGGTTCCTCCACACCCCAAGCATTTTTATCGTTTAGATATTAACGTCATACTAACCCTTTCCAACCTATGTTTTCATTCATTTACGATTTAGTACGTGCGTATTTATTTTACGTTCGTAATACTTGCGCTCTCCTGCAGATCACAAGGTCGCAGGTTCGAACCCTGAGTCGGTTTTTTTTTCGTTATGCTAAGCCCTACAGTAAGTCAAACGAAAGGAAATCTTGCTAGGTAATAATGTGGACGAATACTCTGCTGTGGTGAAAAATAATTCTAGAAGTTAAAAATAAACATTTCGCAAGAGGACTTGTGAACTCTGGGAATTCTCGACAATTGTTGTGCTGATAGAAAATAGTTGGCTGCGTTTGGCTTTGTGAGTTATTTGACTCCGTGCCAACCTATCCCGGCGGTCTAGGCTCTGAATTAGCAGTACCTAACTTGGCATTTCAGAAGTATTTAGTGTCGGTAGACATTGCTATAAATAATATTTTAACAAACTGCCTCTTTGGGTTCGGGATTTGGAATTTTCCACGTATAATTCTAATTTCTTTCTATTTCAAAGGAATATAAAGAAGCACGTAAAAGTGCCGCGCCCTCCAGGCAATCATCACCACTGTAGTGGGGATAGTCAGTAAAGCTCGTCGACCCACATTGGGTCACGGTGGTGGGGCTATGCTGTTAAATCTTCTCGCTATTAGACTTCTGCGAATGTCCAATTTTTTATAGCTTGATATTATAACTATTTTAAATCAATTTATTTATTACACACACAAATTAATAAAAAAATACATTAAAAATTAGGCGTGTGTCGAGAGATATCACTCAGCTTTTGTTGCAACTTTTCAGTGACACCCCACGCTTGACAATATGATTAACCTTCTCACCTCGAGATCATTAATTTAATTTTATTACGACGGAAGGTACTTGATTGGCAACGGTTTCTTGTACAAAGGCTTTGATTACCTGTTAGCTTTGAGCGGAAGTATTCTGTAAAACTGTGGTATCCATATTCGACAACAAGCTTTCACTTTCTTCTCGGGTTGAGATATTGTAAACATCATCTCCATATTTTTAAATAAAACGCTTTAACGATTTAAAACGCGCTATATATTAGTTAAACTTAATTAAAAATTATTATAACTACGACCCGATGTTTCGGATGCTTTACAGCAGTCTTGGGCACGGAGATACTAATATATATCGCGTTTTGAACAGTTAAAGTGTTATATTTCAATGTTTACTACTCGCATAAACTACAGACAGTATTTCATCTTTATATTTCAAAGCACTTTCGTTTCGGAATTGACGACAAAGCGACTTGCCTAGTTATTTCTTCGTTATTGTCTATTTCAGGAATATAGACTAAAAAATAAACCTGACCACTAGATAAACAAAGGGTTTCCACATAAAAGACCGGCCTCGCTAGGTTTCCCAAATGAAAGCATTTTTATAGTTCGGCAACAAAATAGCTCTGAATATAACCCTATGTTTTCTATTTTTCGGTGCTTCGGCGTTTCCACTATTCATTAAAATTATTACAAATAGACAAAAAAATTTAGTACACCAGCACCAATTTATTCACAAGTACTGTGAATAATATACTCCTTTCGTATATTATCGTGTATTTATTTAGTTTGTGCGAAGCGGTATTAAACGCCCCAGTTAGTTTTGTTTGCACGAAACGGTTAACTAATGTCAATATGCTAAATAAGAATGTTCATGGAACTAAATATTTTACGTTTTTGTTCCTCCACAAAGGGGGAATGGGGAATTGGCTGAAACGGTTAGGACAATGTGGACTTATCACCCGACCTCTTGGTGTCCCCAAAAAAAGTTGTAGTTCCTTTTTTTTGCAAGTGGTTCACTAAGGACGACGGGGTCACTCTCTCCTCGGACCTCCATGGGGTTCGCTTGATGGAAGGTGAATACCATAAGCCATACATAACATCTCAACAAGCTACGCTGTCGACCTACTTTAGCTTTGGATATTCGGAAATCTACAGACTGAAAGCGAAACGCGATTAAAGTTCACGGCTTTTTCATCAGTGTGCAATGTTTGGTGATCAGGACGGAATTTCGTTATTCCTACCCACGCATTTAATTTCTAGATTCCCAGACGAAGTGCAATGTTTCAGAAATATTGTAAATAAACTAGAAACAAGTTAAAATACTATCCCGTTACTTGTTCGTATCTACGTTACTTATTATCTATATCTATACTAATATATAAAGCTGAAGAGTCTGTTTGTTTGTTTGAATGTGCTAATCTCAGGAAATTTTTAATTTAAAAATTATTTTGTGTTGGTTAGATTAAAGGTTAAAACATCGCCCTGTGACTAATACAAGCGAAGCTACAGTAGGAAATTTGAAAAAAATTGGGAAAATTAGTCATCATTCATGGTTTCCGAGGCGTACGCTGCAAAAACGGTTCCAGATACGAAATAATATGTATATAAGAACGATTCCTCCTAAAATGATTTACAAAAAAGTCCACGACACTATATGTCTATCTTTTAAGATTAACTTGCAAGAACGACGGTAAGGGACGCGACCGACGTCGTGGGTAACAGTTTACAAAGATGAAGGGGTTTGCAAAAACGAATTTGAATGTCCAAAATAACGATTCCCGCGGACAAAGTCGCTGACACAGCTAGTTAATTTATATGTTGTCGTACTTATATGCTTTTATTTTCTAATTTGCGTTTTAGTCGAAACATGTTTCAATTTATCGAATTGCCTGTTTCGGATTCAGTTTGAGGAAAACTGGTTGTTCGCTCGATAACGATTTATCAGCTCATATTTCAATATGCGAGTGGCGTGCTTGGCTAGCATATTGTACTTACTAATACATATGTATAGCACATTATTTTTGTGTTGTTTAAGCATGAGAGTGTTAAATTATTAACAATTTGATCCATGCCGTAAATTATACCGTGATGTTTATCTATTAGTCATTAGAATTAAAGAAATAAATAAAGGCACAGTATGAATTAAATACAATCGTTTTAAGTATAGTGTCATAGAATCATAGAATGCCATTGGTGCTTTATCGAACTTGGTATATACGGGAAGATATACGGTAGAATAGAGACAATCGGCAAGAACAGAAATGGTAAATGGATCAATCAAATCCTAGTAGGTATGTACGTGTACAAATGTTTCAAACGTATATACACACATAAAATTACACAAAGATAGAATATAGGAATAAAATCTTTTAAAAGTGGCAACACATATGCGTTTTTGTGTAAATAAAACGCTTAACGATTTATTTACAATTCGATTACGACCCGACCTTACGGACACTTGGGGGGACTGAAAATGGAGAATGTAAATGCAGAACTGACGGTGTCGTCTCGTTTACCGGCATGCCGTTTTTTGGGATCTAGTGTGCGTAAAATAAAATTTGTGAATATGTTAACAAACATATTTCGCGTTTTAAACCGTTAAAAGTATTTATTAAATGCGTCCTAAACGCGCAAACTACAGACAGTATTCAAACAAGTTTATCTTCCGGCCTTAAAATGGTTCATATAATTAAATTTCACGCAATATAAATTTTATACGACGTTTCACGATCACGGCTGATACACGCGTGGCCTCGATTATCGAAAGAAAGTAAAGTTGAATGCGAGAATTGGTTGTTTACTTTGAACGTTATAGAGGTTTCTTTGTGAGCAGTTCGGTTGACCTACTCCTACCTAGTGAAACTCGATATAGTATTCGAGTTTCTCGTTGGCTCTTCTTGATTATAAAAAAATGTTACATCTATACTAATATTATAAAGCTGAAGAGTATCTTCGTTTGCTTAATGGGGCTAATCTCAGGAACTTCTGGTCGTAATTGAAAAATTATACAAATGCGGGAAATGTGAAGAAAACGGGAAAAATTATTCACCTTTGTAGATAGATATCCGTTGCGTGCGTTGCAAAAAAAGTTTACTATACCGTAAAAATATGTATGAAAGAGTGATTAGTCTATTAACGATAAAAAAATGTCGGCGATACTATATGTTTATCTTATAGGATTACTTGCAAGAACGATAGGAAGCGAGAATGTGGGTAACAGCTTAAATTGTCCAAGGTGAGGAGGAGGTTTACAAATTTTCATGCCCAAAATAACTATTCTACGCGGACGAAGTCACGACCTCAGCTAGTAAAAAATATACAGCCCCTTAAAGTTGCATAGAGCCTTTACACGAAGTAACAGTCAGCTTGTTAGCAAACGGAAGTGATATTATTATAGGGATTCAAAGCGACCCAGAAGGGACCAAATAAGATATAAATCTACATTGTACAACATAGTGTCGTTTCCTCTTCCTATTTGCGTATGTCTATAGTGGAGATCAGAATTTACAAACATTCACGTTGACAATTTATTGGCTCGTTGGTCTAACTTTAAATATATGGGTAATAATCAACGGGTAGTGGATTCGATCCCCATCGAGTCCAACGAGTTTCTCATAATATATAATTTTACTGAAACATCTTGGATTTTGCCTGGATATTAAATTAATTCCGAATTTGGAATCTCAGTTCACAGAATAAAAAAGCCGTAAAGTTTAATCAGGTTTTTAGTCTGCGGATTTCCAAATATCCAAAAGCCAAAATAGGTCGAAAATGCATGTTTAGATGTTATATATATGTATATATAGTTGGGGTATTTTACCTTTCATCAATTGAGCCCCTTGCTTGCAGCATGATGTTATTATTCCTATGATCAGCTTATTTATTAATAGCATTTATTTAATTACTACGGGTATTTTAAATGTTGCTAATAAAATCAGTAACTAAAATCCGCTCGTATTAGTTTCGAGGAAGACCGGAGTCGTTAAAATGTTTTACAGTTTACAGCGAAGGCGAGGTGCGTGGGCGCAGATTGTACACCTACTTGCAAATAGGTCAGGGTCTCGTTGCCAACCAGAAAATGATTTTACTGTTTTGCAAAACATAAGAATATAGATTAAAATGCCCCAAACGACCTCGCAAGACAGTGTAGGCGATAATATCTTCCTTGCAAAAGAGTTTATAAACAAGATAACATTTTCTTATCATTGACTTTCCCCGACAGCCAACAATTTTATCTTTGTGATAAGCACTGCATAATTATTGCAATCATCCTAATGCCGTAGGTCTTATATAATATCGGTGTTTATATTGAGCAGCGACATTCGCTGCAGGTGGTCCTCTCAAACATTCGGGGCTGATAACGGCAGCAGTGCGCAGAATCCTTGGCCTGCCCTTGACATAACACCATCCTTTGTCCTTATGAAGCTGAGGCTCATCATTACGAAATTGTTAGAACTAAACACCTGTTACGGTTGACTGCTCCAAACGGAATATTTTCCCAAGAACATTTTAAATTTAAATAAAACACTTCTAAATGCGAAGTTGACATATATAAAGTTGATTTTTTTTTATTATTTTATCTTGTATCTAATGTTTAACCGTAAATAGTGTTTCATATATTTCTGTTAATTACACACAATGCTTAACATTCTAGATTATTTAGTCTTCCATTTTAGTTCAACCTACATTGCTATCTATTCATGGGTTAATCGATAATTAAGCCTTTGTAAGACAAAGGCGTAGGTTTTATATTATTGACGTGATGATAAAAAATTGTTTTTTATCGTAAATAACACTATTTCGTACGGGCTTATGATCCAGAGGTTGCAATTTATGGCTTATAATCAAATCCAAAGCCAAAATATTGGCTTTGGATAT